GTGCGAGGTGACACCTCATAGTCATCTTAATTCGCAGGAGATTGATTTTTGAATCAACATTTCTACAGTGCAATTTTAGGGAAAATAACTGATGACTGCTATTGAACTGAATGTTTATGGTACCCTATTTAATGCAGCCGAAGAGGATTCAGGAAACCCACAACTGTCTGCCTTATTTACGGTGAGAACAGAGACTCAAGAGAGGCTCCTCGTAATCAAATCTGGGCTCTTCCACTTCCTAGCAGTTTTACCTCCAGCAAAGTTCTTTAACCTCTGTGACCCTGCTCCCTCATATAAAAAAGGGGAGGTGAGGGCAGCTGAAATATAAAATGGGCACCTAGAACTAAGCCAGGAGCAAGTCAGTACTCGGGGTTACCTACCACCACCAGCAGCGGCCCACCCACCTTATTCCATTGGGTGGCTCAGTGCTGACATCTAGTGGCCAGTTTACACTACTCACTTCATCCAGGAAAAGTACTTCCAACCTAAAATGCTCATTTTCTGTAATGTAAAAGCTCAGCCCTGGGGCTTTTTCTTCAGACTCTAAAGTGCCTGGGTATTCCATAAGTGTCACTAGAATAATGTTCTTTCGCCCTGGGAAGCAACTGCTTTAAAAATGAGATAACATGCAAGGCACAAAGCATAGGAATGGCCTGGGAAATAATGGTTACTATTTCTTGAGCACTTATATGAGCAATTTAAACCTCACAACTAGCCCTCGCCAGTTTGACTCAGTAGTTAGAGCGTTGTCCTCTGGACTGAAGGGTCTTGGGTTGGATTCCCGGTCAAGGGCATGTACCTGGGTTGCAGGTCCGATCCTCAGTCCCAGGAGGCAACCAGTCGCTGTGTTTCTCTCACATCGATGTTTCTCTCTCTGTCTCTCTCTCTCTGTCTCTTCTCTCCCTTCCACTCTATGGAGGGGGGGGGGGAAATATCCTCAGGTGAGGATTAACAAAAATAAATAAATAAACCTCACAACTACCCCGTGAGGTGGGTACTGATTCCCCACTTTATGAATGAGGGGACAGGTTTGGAGAGGTTCTGTAATTTGCTCAGGGTCACAAGCCTGTGAAAGAAGCTAGGCTCTGAACCCAAGGTCTGGCCCTAGGGCTGAAGCTCCTCCCCCCTTACCATCCCACTCCACCCCTCCCAGCCCACCTTCTTTCCTGCTATAGGCCTGGGATGGATCACCTCCCAGCTTGCTGCTGGAGAGACCAGGTAGACACAGGGGTTAGGGAGCAGCTAGGGTCACAGGAGGGCAGAGTGAGCCTGCTAAGGCAGGGACAGCAGAGTAGGGAAATCCTGCCAGAGGTCTGCTCTGTGTGGCACTGAGGACCATCCCAGGAGACTGGAAACTGGGATTCCCCCAGGGAGCAGTAGGGAGAAGAGGCCACAGGCGCCTGTCTCTCAGATGCAGTGGAAATTGATCAGAAGGCCAATTCCTCCAGAAAGAGGTTCTCCATTCTTGGCCCTCTGCTCGCTTTTGGAGCTTGGGGGCACTTAAGAGGATGAGGAGGACAAGGAGTGGCTTATGTGCTTACCTTTAATTCCAAAAGAAATACATGCTTGTTTAAAAATGCAGACTACAGCCCTGGCCGGTTTGGCTCAGCCGTTAGAGCGTTGGCCTGCGGTCTGGAGAGACCCGGGTTTGGTTCCCGTTAAGGGCACGTACCTTGGTTGCAGTTTGTCCCCAGCCCTGGTTGGGTCGTGTGGGTGGCAACCACTCGATGTGTCGCTCTCACGTCGATGTTTCTCTCTCTCTCTCTCTCCCTCTCACTCTATCTGAACAAAATATCGAAAAATGTCCTCGGGTGAGGAAAAAAAAAGAGTAAAAATGCAGACTACAGAAATTTATAAAGTGAAAATTGTGAGAGCCCCTATCTGCCTTCTCTTCGACCCATTGCTCAGAAGTTAACTGTTTGTCATGTATCCTTCCTACTGTTTTCTATTCCTTTCAAGTATCCCACACCCTCCCTAGAGATCTGTGTGCTTTATTTCTTAAACAAAAATAAGATCATTTGGTACATACTGGTCTGCAAATTGCTTTCTCTCAATGTCATAGAAAACATCGTTCTATAAACTGCAATTTAAATGCATTAGAGCTTTGTGTTTCCAAGAACCCTTTATAGATTATTTTGAAGGATAAAATCCTGAGGTTATGTGAATAATCAACCCCCGTATCGTTGCATATTGAATCTCTGCCTCTTCAGCCCCCACCGCTTAGGAGTCAGCCGAGATGGGGGTGGGGGAGACTGCGAGTTATGCCTAAAGGAAACCCTGTGAGATTCCTTATCCACAGTTTCTCGCTCTTTTTCGTCTGTCCCGGACTTTCTCCGCAGACTAAGAGGGGAAGTTGGCTTCCAATTAAGTATAAATAAAATAAACACTGAGCACCCTGTCTGGCCGGTGTGGCTCAGTGGTTGGGCGTCGACCCATGTACCAAGAGGTCGCCAGTTTGATTCCCAGTCAGGGCACATGCCCAGGTTGTGGGCCTGATCCCCAGTGGGGGGCATGCAGGAGGCGGCCCATTGATGTTCTCTCTCATCGATGTTTCTATCTCTCTCTCCCTCTTACTTTCTGCTTTCTCACAACTCAATAAAGAAAAAATATTTTTTCAAAATAAAAAGAATATGTAACTAAATCTAGTTTATTTTAAAAAATCGGTGCTCGGCCCTGGCCGGTTTGACTCAGCGGTTAGAGCGTCGGCCTGCGGTCCGGAGAGGCCCTGGTTCGGTTCCCGCTCAGGGCACGTACCTCGGTTGCAGTTTGTCCCCGGCCCTGGTTGGGTCATGCGGTGGCGACCACTCGATGTGTCCCTTTCACATCGATGTTTCTCTCTCTCTCTTTCCCTCTCTCTCCCTCCCACTCTATCTGAACAAAAAATGGAAAAATGTCCTCGGGTGAGGATAACAAAGAATCAACTAATGAATGTGTGAATAAGTGAAACAACAAATCAATGCTTCTCTCTCTCGTAACAATAAATAAAAAAAAGTAAATAAATAAAATTTCAGGAATACTGCAAACCAGACAAACACAATCATTACTAAAAATTAAGGCACATAAACTTGGGCTTAAATAAATACATTAAAAGCAAAGGCGATGAAAAGTCAAAACTCATCACTTCCTAATTGTTACTACATCGTACATTTTTCTTCTATGTTCTTGACATTATTTACATCTATCAGACCTATATGGTGGATGCAGCATCCCTTCCCAATTCTGAATGGTAGTTTGAAATCTGCAATGGTGGAAGTATTTACACCAGGGAAATCAGCAAGTGCTACAAATCAGGGTTTGATTTGTTGTTGACTGTTACTGAAGTGAGAGGGAAAATGTTAATTATGAAGATTAGACTTGAATGTGTACCTTGTCTGGAGCCTTTTACATTGTGAATAGCACAAAACCCTGAGAAAATATTGTTCCAGTACTTGAATACTATTATTTGATTTGGCAAAGAGTTTCCTTGCTCACGTCACTGAGATATGAGTGAAGCTCTAGAAGGGCGAAGCTGGGAAGGTGGGAAATAACTGAAGGAACTGTGGAAGCATGAACATCCAAGGAGGGGTTTCACTGTTTCACTTAAGTTCTTCTTCTTTTCCTTCTTTTTAAAATATGTTTTTCTAAAAATTGATTCTAGAGAGAGGAAGGGAGAGGGAGAGAGAGAGAAATGCCAATGTGAGAAACAGTCAGTTGCCTCCTGTACACACTCCAACTGGGGACCAAACCTGCAACCTGGGCATGTGCCCTGAGCAGGAATCGAACCAGTGACCTTTTGGTGCACAGGCGGATGCTGAACCAACTGAGCCACACAGGCCAGGGCTCACTTAACTTCTTTTTTTAAAATCCTCATTCTAGGATATTTTTCTATTTATCTTCAGATAGAGTGGGAGAGAGGGAGAGAGAGAGAAACATCAATGAGAGACACACATCAATGAGAGACACATCGACCGTTTGCCTCTTGCATGACCCTGACCAGTGCTGGGGACAAACCTCAACTGAGGTATGTGCCCTTGACTGGAATCAAACCCACGACTCTTTGGTCCGTGGGCCCACACTCTAACTGCTGAGCCAAACTGGCCAGGGCAACTTCTTAAACATAAAGGAAAAAAATCAGTCAACATTCATATCAAAACTATACTCTTTTGTCAATGGCGGTGGAGAATTGCTGAATGGGATAGTAACCAAGCATTTATCCGTGGTCTGATTTTGTAACACACTGTTGTTGGCAGAATTATAAACACTCACTATGGATTTTGCAAGGCACACGGAAGTTAGAGCTGTATGGAAGCTATAATAAAGAATGTTGTGGAACAGCCCTGGCCAGTGTGGCTCAGCGGGTTAGGTGTAGCCCAAGCACTGGAAAGTTGGGGGTTGGATTCTGGTCAGGACACACAGCCATGTTGCTGTCTGGATCTCTGGTAGGGGGCATGCAGGAGGCAGCTGATTGATGTCATTCACACATGGATATTTCTCACTCTCCCTCTTCCTTTGTCTTTTTTTTTCTTTATTGATTTTAGACAGAGGAGAGGGAGAGGGAGAGAGAAACATGATGAGAGAGAACACTGATTGACTGCCTCCTGCATGCCCCCTACTGGGGATCGGGCCCACAACCTGGGCATGTGCCCTGAATGGGAATCGAACCAGCGACCTTTTGGTGCTGGGTTGACGCTCAACCACTGAGCTACACCGGCTGGACAGTCTTCCTCTTTCTAAAAAATAAATAATAATGTTGGGGAACAATGTTGTTCCCCTCCCCCCTCCCCCCTCCCCCCTTCCCCCTCCCCTCTCCCCGCTCCTTTTTCTAATACTGGTGTTAACCATTGTGCCAGGAACTGAACTTGGCCTGGGTGGCCGAGTCCCCTCGCCCAATAGAGCAGAGTGATTGGAGCTGACTGCGAAGGGCCCTTCCCAGAGTGGCCGCCAGGGGGCGCGCGCGAAGCACATGGAGCTTCGCGGTTTGTCCCTCCGCGCGGCCCGTCGCCGGCGCCGCGGCGGGAAAATCTGACTGCGCCGTCCGGGTCGCTGTCTACACGCACTCGCGCGGGGCTGGGTCGGCCGCTAGGATGGAGGAGGAGGTGGAGGGGGCCGAGGAGCAGCAGCGGTTCTCCTATCGACAGGTACAGGAACGCCGCGTCCCGGCTGCGCCGGGAGGATGGCGTCGAGTTTCTGGAGACGAAAAGCCCCGGAGGCCTCGGCCCGGCCTTGCCTCGGTGTCCGCCCGCCAGGGCCGGGGGGCGCGCGCCAGCTCGGCGGCCTCGGGGGGAGGTGGGTGCCGGAGACGGTTTCCACGGCAACGCGGGCGGGCGCGAAGCTCGCGGAGTGCGGCGCGCCGGCCCCCCGGCCCCCCGGCCCCCCGGCTTTGTGACAGCCCGCGCCCCTGCTCCGAGGGCCGAGTGAGGCTGCGATGCGAGCGTTACAGGGCGTCGCGGCGAAGGCTCAGCCCGTGCCCGGTCGTGGCACGAGCCCGACATGCTGGGCCCCGCGAGCGGCGCCCTCCCCGCTGCCGAGCCGGCCGGGGCCACCTGCGGGTGGGCGTTCGCGTCTCCGCCCCGCGGCTCGGGGCTGGCGTTACCTTTGCCGAGCTCGGTTTTCTTGCGTGGGAAGTCGGGGTCGATGCGGGTACTCAGGCCTTCCTTCCACCAGCCGCGGAGCAAGCACCGTGCGGCGGCGGCTGACAGCGCTGGAAAGAGGTGGAAAGCGAGGACCAGGTGACAGCCCCAAAGAGGAGGAACGGAAGGGACACGCGACTGAGCCCAGGACGTGGGGTTTCCTTCCTATGAAGTGTTACATTCCAGAAGCTGCTTTCCCGTCCTTTTATTTTGAGAAACCTTCGGGAAAAGTTGCAAGGCTGATGTGCCCAGTGCGCATACACCTCTCACCTCTCTTAGGTTGTGAACTTTTTGCTGTATTTGCTCCCTTGCCCCCCACACGAATTATTTAAGAATTAATGGCAAATATCTTGACGCTTCACGTTTACATTTTGAAACTTCAGTATGTATCTCCCAATAACATGGGCATTCCACAACGTAATCTTAGTTATTACACTCAGGAAGTTTAATACTGATGAAGTTTTATTATCATTAGATATTGTTCAGTCCATATTCAATTTCCCCAGTTGTCCCAAAGATTTTTTTTTTTTTAGTGGCCTTTTTCCCTTCCTCCTGGACCCAGTCAGGCAAGGATTATGCATCACAGTCAGCAGATCACAGTCAGCAGTGCTGTTTCTGTGGTCTTTTGGGGAACAGTTCTCCAGCTTTGTCTTTCATCACCGATGGTTTTGAAGAGTCCATTCGTGGCAGAAGTGTAGTGGAGATCAACTCTTGGAGATCTGGGGCGGTCCTTTCCTCCTTTTTCCTTTATTGACTTTTTTTTTTTTTTTTGAGAGAGAGAGAGAAACTTCAGTGAGAGAGAACATCGATTAGCCGCCTCCTGCATGCCCCCAACTGGGGATCAGGCCCCCAACCTGGGCATGTGCCCTGATCAGGAATCGAACCTGATGCATGGGTCAGCACGCAACCACTGAGCCACACGGGCTGGTCTGGGGCTGTCCTTTTCATTTCTGTATCCTCAGCTCCTAGTACCGGGCCTAGCTGTCAATAAACAATAAGTGCATACTGATTAAATGAGTAAGGCTGCAAAGATGGGCTGAGAATTTTATTTTTTATTAAGTTTATTGGGGTGATAGTGGTTAATAATATTATATGGGTTTCAAGTGTACAGTTCTATGATACATTATCTGTATATTGCACTGTGTGCCCACCAACCAAAGTCAGATCTGTCACCATGTATTTGACCTCTTGACTCCCTCCCTGTTTTCTGGGCTAAGGTTTTGGAACCTCATCCTCTATGCATTGGTGAGGAGGTTGAGGATCCTTCATTCAAGTAGCCTTCTTGGCACTGGGTGGATAGTAGTGAACAAAACTAATGGGGTTCTGCCCTTGAGGAGTTTAGAGTGTAGTGATTTAGCCTCTACTTATCTGTGGCATTGAAGAAGGCTCTTAGCTCAGTCCAGGAGGCTCAAAAGGAGGAGAGACAGAGAAAACTGCCTGGAGCATTCAGAAGGACCCCTGTCCCATTCTCTCACCCCTGACCCCACCCCACATATACCTAAAAAAGATTACCTTGGAGGGTCTTTATCCCTCCCAGGGTGATGATCCCTTTGTCTCCTTTGACCAAAGCCTCAATTTACCTAGCCTTGTGAGGTCTGAAACTAAGGAAGGTAGGGGCCTCACTTTCCTGCCTGTCCCTTACCCCGAGGTTGTGGACTTGTGTTCTTGCAGTTCCTCCTCATCTTGCATCTACTGTGAACACTTGCTGTCTTGGGTTCAGCTGTCACCATGTCCTGTTCACCTCTGTCTCCAGCACAGAGATGGAGCAAACACAAGCTAGTTAACATGAGATGGAGACCTTGGCTTAGCTTGTTTTGCTTCTCTACTCCGTTGCATGGGGAACAGAGATGTCTTCCAGCATCTAAAAGGATTGCTGAGAAGCTGTGATGGTCCAACACTCCAAGTAGGGTCAGGCGTGACCTCATGGGCCTTTCTGGTGTTGCCCTGATCATTCATCTGTCATCACATGCAAGCATGGGGATTCAGGGACTTGCAGCAGAGGGATGGGGTCCTTTTGCATTTACTTGATTCACCCTGGTCCAGGCAAGAAATCCCGGTCTGGTTTTTCGTTGTGTTCCCCAAGCACCCAGCATCTGCCTTTACTCGGTGGGAACTTGGCACTTACTTGTGGACTGAGTCAAGTCACGCAGATACGTTGCAAGGGCCATCTGACTTCTCTCCCCGTTGACCTGCCATCGTAATTCCTTATCTTTACTTGACCTAAATCATAACCATTAACCAGGAAGTAATGTTTCTACAAGTCACACTCCAGAGGGCCTCATTAATTTATTAGTACACTTGGAAAGTCACTGAGCCATTATGGAAAGTGCTGCAGGAATTGGACTGAGCAGACCCTCTCCTTGGTCTTAACTTTTTAAGATGGGAAAAGCTCTTCTTTGCAACCTCCCCCATGAGGTATTTTGGTTTTTGCTTCAGAGGCTGAAGGCAGCGGTCCACTACACCGTGGGCTGTCTCTGTGAGGAGGTGGCCTCGGACAAGGAGGTGCAGCTCAGCAAGCAGACCATTGCAGCGATTTCGGAGGTGACATTCCGACAGTGCGGTATGAAGCCCTGGCCTCCCTGCATGTGGACAGACGCCCAGAGGCTGGTTGCCGGGGAGAACTGAGGGGTGGGCGCTGCGGGGCGGGTCGCCACTGGCGTTGCTTCCTCTCCGGACACTTCAGAAAACAGTTCTTGGCTGTCAGATGGGTAGTTTATGAAAGAACTCTTTTTTTCTATTACACTAACACTGGGGCATTAGCACCTTCATTTTATTGTGTTTTAAACTGCCTGGAACATTAGACATAAAATTTTTTATTTCATTGCTTTATAACATTTTTATATCATCCATAGTTTATTTGACAGGTGAACTGGTGGCGTTGGTATTTGCTTGACTTCACAGGAAATTAATGTTCTCACAAGCCCTTACTTGTAGCAAAATGTAAAGTTAAGGGATAGTTTCTAGGAATGAAAGGTGCAGCCACAATTGCCAGAAAGCTTGTAATAAAGGGTCCAGGGTGCCAGAAGGACAAGGGGGTCATAATGAGTCACAGGCTGAAGGCACCTGTGCTGTGGGGCTCCCTGAAGTGCCTCTGGCACCTCGGGAAGGGTTTGTCGCGGCAGTCACCGTACGTGTTTAATGTGGACGTTGAGATCTCACTTTTCCTTCTGAAATAAGACTGAGGTACGGGTAGCTGAAGCACATCTCTTTTTCTCTTTCAGATAACTTTGCCAAAGACCTTGAAATGTTTGCAAGGTGGGTAAAGAGCCTGATTATCTGCTGCTGTGTTTGTTTACATTCTATTGATACTCCATCTGGTGGTCTATTTCAGGAGAGCTGTAGCTGTTCATTTAAAAGAAATTTTTTTTGTATTTTGTGGAAGCTCATCTCTAATCATGATTCCACAAGAATATAACATCTGCTTTAATCATGTCCATTCAGACTTGATTTGGCATTTTTTGAAGTTTTCCAAGTATTTTTTGTTGAGAACTGAAGTTATTCAGTTCCAGGTTAAAAAGGCATGAGTAATGTCTCTAGAACTCGGAATGTGCGGGGCACACGTGCTTTTAAGATTCTTTCTGCAGGATGGTGTGATCCCAGGGCCCGGGCCTGAGCCGGGAGCTGGGCTGCGCTGTGCTCCAGGCGGTGATTGCTGGCAGGTGGCTGGATAAAGACAGCACGGTCCACATCAGGCCTCATCTGCCACGTTGTTCCCAGTGAGACTACACTCCTTGAAAAGGGGGTGACTTGCTTTCAGCTGGCAAAGCTGTAGCCTTTACAGGTGATTTATGCTCATGTCTTCAATTAGTACCTCAGGTAATTGAAAACAATTGCAACGAATTGCTTTTATGAAGCGGTTTGAATGACTAAGGCCTGAAAGGGCCAAAGCTTTTCTAATTTGCTACCATTTCTGATTTGGCGCCAGCCTCTCCCACAGCCCACCCTTTTCACCTTGCTCCTGGTAGCTCTTTGCTTCTCGGGTGAATACTTTGAATGCATTAAAGCAGCCGGTTCTCAGGGGGCAGGCTCTAAATCTTTCCCATTCCTGCATCCGAGTCCCTAAAAACTGCTTAGCATCTTCAGCTTGGGCAAAAGGGATAATATTATGGGATACTGATAGCTCATGTGCTTTATTCATTGTTAATTCAGGCGGTTGTCCCTTATACGTGGCCCATTATCCCCCCCCCCCCCGTGTCTCCTGTGAAATAACATTTATCATCTCACTTGCCATTTCTTTTCTTCCTTTTTATTTTGAAAATATAACTTTTTTTTTTATTACAAAGGGAGACACAAAAGTGTAAATAAGTTGCCCTGGCTGGTGTGGCTCAGTTGGTTGAACATTGTCCCATGCTCCAAAAGGTCTCAGGTTTGATTCCTGGGGTTGTGGGCTTGATCCCTAATAAGCCATATCTCTCTTATCCATGTTTCTCTCTCTCCCTTTTCCTTCCTCTCGCTCTAAAATCAATAAAATGTATTTAAAAGTGTGTAAATAAGTAGACAAATGATTATTAGATTTGAAGGGAAAGTTTTGTCAGTGCAGAGCAGGTTTCTCCACTTCAGCACAGTTGCCCTTCGGACAGCATCATTCTTGTGGTGGGGTCGGTCCTGTGCACTGGGGAGTGTGCCAGCCAGTAGTCTGTCCCCATTTTTGTGCTAACTATGGGGAAGACAATGAACATTTTTAAATGTTTCTGCAAAAACATTAGAAATAAAAATGAGTCTGGCCCTGGCCGGTTTGGCTCAGCGGTTGGAGCGTCGGCCTGCGGTACAGAGAGACCCGGGTTCGGTTCCCACTAAGGGCACGTACCTCAGTTGCAGTTTGTCCCCTGCCCTGGTTGATCGTGAGGGTGGCAGCCACTCGATGTGTCCCTTCACGTCGATGTTTCTCTCTCTGTCTCTTCCTCTCTCTCCCTCCTGCTCTATCTGAACAAAAAAATGGAAAAATATCCTCGGGTGAGGATAAAAAAACTAAAATAAAAATGAGTCTGGCCGGTGTGGCTCAGTGGTTGAGCACTGACCCATGCGCCAAGGGGTTGCCGGTTGGATTCCTGGTGAGGACACAAGCCCAGGTTGTGGGCCCAGTCCCCAGTGGGGGGCATGCGGGAGGCTGCCATTTGATGTTCTCTCTCATTGGTGTTTTCTATCTCTCCCTCTCACTTCCTCTCTTTCTAAAATCAATAAAGGAAAAAAAATGAAATTAGAAATATTTAGCACAGTAATCATTGAGTGCTCAGTTCCTTTGTGTTTTTATAATTACATTAAAAGGTCAAGCCCTGGCTGGTTTGGCACAGCAGTTAGAGCGTTGGCCTGCGGTCCAGAGAGACCCGGGTTCGGTTCCCGCTAAGGGCATGTACTTCGGTTGCAGTTTGTCCCCGGCCCTGGTTGGTCATGTGGGTGGCAGCCTCTCGATGTGTCCCTTTCACGTCGATGTTTCTCTCTCTTTCTCTTCCTCTCTCTCCCTCCCACTCTATCTGTACAAAAAATGGAAAAATGTCCTCGGGTGAGGATAAAAAATAAATAAAAAATAAATAAATAAATAAATAAATAAATAAAACATGTTTTAAAAAAAAAAAAAATGCCCTGGCCAGTTTGGCTCAGCAGTTAGAGCGTCGACCTGCGGTCCAGAGAGACCCAGGTTCGGTTCCCGCTAAGGGCATGTACCTCAGTTGCTGTTTGTCCCCGGCCCTGGTTGGGTTGTGTGGGTGGCAGCCACTTGATGTCTCCCTTTCACATCGATGTTTCTCTCTCTCTCTCCCCTTCCTGCTCTATCTGAACAAAAAAAATGGAAAAATGTCCTCGGGTGAGGATTAAAAAAAATAATAATAAAATAAAAAAATAAAAGGTCGAATTTTGCCCTGGCCAGTGTGGCTCGGCGGTTAGAGCATTGTCTCGAGGACGAATGGGTTGAAGGAATATACCTCAGTTTCAGTTCGTGCCGGGCTCTGGTGGGGGTCGTGTGGGAGGCAGCAAGTCAATGTGTCCTCCTCCCCTCCCTCCCACTCTATCTGAAGATAAATAAAAAAATATCCTCGGGTGGGGATTGAAAAAAAAAAAGGTTGGGTTTCTTTTCCTGAGTATGGGGGGAAAGTGGTGTGTGTGTGTCACTTAGACTGTAAGCCCCACTAGGGAGGACATCCTCTAAATAAAGGAGTCTGTGTGAAGGCTGTCAGCTGCTGTTCTGTAGGTGAGACCATCTGAGGACTTACTAACTATAGGCGCTGCCTCAGCTTCTGCCATGTCCATGCGTGTACTCGCTGCCCTCAGACTTGCTCCCAGGGCCCCGAGAGAACGCGTGTACTCGCTGCCCTCAGACTTGCTCCCAGGGCCCCGAGAGAACGCGTGTACTCGCTGCCCTCAGACTTGCTCCCAGGGCCCCGAGAGAACGCGTGTACTCGCTGCCCTCAGACTTGCTCCCAGGGCCCTGAGAGAACGCGTGTACTCGCTGCCCTCAGACTTGCTCCCAGGGCCCTGAGAGAACGCGTGTACTCGCTGCCCTCAGACTTGCTCCCAGGGCCCTGAGTGAACGCGTGTACTCGCTGCCCTCAGACTTGCTCCCAGGGCCCTGAGTGAACGCGTGTACTCGCTGCCCTCAGACTTGCTCCCAGGGCCCCGAGAGAACGCGTGTACTCGCTGCCCTCAGACTTGCTCCCAGGGCCCCGAGAGAACGCGTGTACTCGCTGCCCTCAGACTTGCTCCCAGGGCCCCGAGAGAACGCGTGTACTCGCTGCCCTCAGACTTGCTCCCAGGGCCCCGAGAGAACGCGTGTACTCGCTGCCCTCAGACTTGCTCCCAGGGCCCTGAGTGAACGCGTGTACTCGCTGCCCTCAGACTTGCTCCCAGGGCCCTGAGTGAACGCGTGTACTCGCTGCCCTCAGACTTGCTCCCAGGGCCCTGAGTGAACGCGTGTACTCGCTGCCCTCAGACTTGCTCCCAGGGCCCTGAGAGAACGCGTGTACTCGCTGCCCTCAGACTTGCTCCCAGGGCCCTGAGAGAACGCGTGTACTCGCTGCCCTCAGACTTGCTCCCAGGGCCCTGAGAGAACGCGTGTACTCGCTGCCCTCAGACTTGCTCCCAGGGCCCTGAGTGAACGCAGGAGCAAATTTTCTCCGAAGACTCAGCCTTTGTCTTAATTTTATGTTGTTTTTTATAATATTCCTGTTTCAAAGTTTATCACTGAATGAAATTGGTCTTTCCAGAAGGTCAGCTTGGTTTATCCTGTGGTTTTGAGCTTTCCTTTTCATCCAGTCTCTACTTCTAGAACTACGGTCACCGTGAGAAGTCTGCAGTACCTACTGTTTGGGCTTCTCATAGCAGTCAGAGTTCTAGACGTTTTCAGTGGTCTTTGTAGGCTGGCTGGGAAGCTAACCAGTATTTGAAACATTGTTTCTGTGAGAAAATACATTTAAATAGTCAATTCACCTATAAACTTTGGAAAATCATCTCTCAGTTTAGGTATGACTTTCACTTATTTAGCTTTGAAATCTCTAGTCACCTAGTAATGTGTTAAAGATGCAACATTTTGAAGTAGATAGGTATTCTGTAGAAATAAACTCGAGGAACATTTTGGGAATAATTTCTAAAACCTATGTTGCTAAAAGCGTTAGACGAAAAATCACTTAGTTCTTTTCCCTAGAAATTTTCAGTATGCTGCTTCCTTTTACTCATTCCTTTTACTGCACTTGACCAAGAATAAAATTCTGACACAGCAGCCTGATGGCGTTATTGAGGTGAGGGCCACACTGTGTCCACGGCGCTTACCCTTCACCCAGGATGTCTGGACGGGCTTTGCACCTTGTGGCTGCTCGTGTACCACCTGTCTGACCTCCCCCCTCCATCCTGGTCCTCGCAGGTGGCTGACTGGAAGTTTTCTCCTGAAGTGGATATTATCATCTCAGGACAGGCAGATATTATACATCATGATGAGATGACGTGATATTTGCACTTTTAGCAGGATGTGAAGGAATAATTTGGCCAAATTATGGAGTATAATTTCTGTGTGACTTTATCTGTAATTTAACAGATACTCAGCATTGACTACTATGTGTTGGCCACTTTGTTAGTTATTAAGAATACAAAGAAGCCCTGACCGGTTTGCCTCAGCGGTTGGAGCGTCAGCCTGCGGACCTGAGAGTCCTGGGTTTGGTTCCCGCTAGGGGCACGTACAAAAAAAAAATAAAATTTTTTTTTAAAGAGTACAAAGATTCCAATATATTCATATGTACAGAGTTCCTACTTATTTTTAGAGGAAGTTAGAAATGGCAAGAAAGGGTGTAGAGTCTTAAATTATTATTTATTTAAATAATACTTTATTTATTTTTAGAGAGAGAGGAAGGGAGAGGGAGAGATAGAAACATCAATGAGAGAACATCTATTGGCCGCCTCCTGCATGCTCTCCACTGGGAGTTTGGCTCACAACCTGGGCATGTGCCCTGACCGGGAATCAAACTGGCGACTTCTTGGTGCATGGGGTGACGCTCAACCACTGAGCCACATTGACTGGGCAGAGTATTAAATCATTGAATAGAGCGTATCTCATTACCTTAATTTTTAAAAATTTATTGATTTGAAGGAGAGAGAGAGAGAAACGTTGATTTGTTCCACTCGTTTATGCATTAATTGGTTGCTTCTTGTATGTGCTGTGACTGGAGATTGAACTCACAACCTTGGCGTATCAGGATGACACTTTAACCAACTGAGCTACCCGGCCAGGGCTCAAATGACCTTTTAGAGCAAAGGTGAGGGGACTGGAATGAGAATTTGAGTCCAAGTTATGAGCAAGAAATAGATTCCTGTATAAAGAATGTTTTTTGTTCTAACCATGCTCTTGTGGAGGGAACGCATTCCCTCCTCGTTGGGAAATGGGATATTAGGAGACAGCGACAGAAGCTTTTTCCTATAATTTAGCTCTTGGAGAAAAGCTTCAGGATCTTGGTCTAAGTGAAGCCATGCCTCATGGACATTCTCTTTATTCTTCTATCTAATGTCTCTTTTAAGCAGAGGTGATCTTTGTATTGTAAGACTGCCGTTTTCTCTTTTCAACAAAGGTGCACAGTGACCTTGCTTTTTCTGTGGTGCTTGCTGTGACCATTGTGCCAAGCAGGGCCCTTCCCAAGGTTAATGCCTCAGACTCCTTCCCATGCTTGTATTCCTCAGGCACCCTTGGCCTGCAGTGGAGGTGGACAGATGGGCTTCTGCTTTCTCGCGGTCTCTTTATTTAATTGGTATCGTGGCTAGTCACTTCATTCATTTTTGTGTCACTGTTGCTTAATGACCATAATCTGAAAAGATGGGCTACTTAGAGATCCTTGCTAGCCTGAAGTCTGACCATGAACTTTTGTGTTTCTCAAACTAAATAATACCAAATATTTTGGTGAATTGTTTCTGCCCTTTCTACAGACATGCGAAGAGAAGCACAATTAACACAGAAGATGTGAAGCTCTTAGCCAGGAGGAGTAATTCACTGGTGAGAGATGAATTTCTTTCCTCACTCCCCTTTCCCATCAGAATACATTATTCCCAATTAATCACTTGCAGCCATGAAGTGATTCCCCAGGGCACCTTGCATTAAAAACGAGAGATGGTTGAACCATTCAGACCTGCCTGTAATTTATAGTCTTTCTTTCATTAAGATGGATCTTGCCAAGCCAATTTGAAATTTTCTAATCAGCACTCTCTGGATTTCATAGTTTGCCTTTTTGTAATATCTCAAAACTTTGGTCCCATGTTTCATTTATAGCATTTATAGCATGATGTCAGAGACGGGTCGCAGGCTAGAGTGTATGGGGATAGTCTCATCATAGTGGCCCAGAGGCCAGGTGTGGAAGGAGTGTCTGTGTATAGCTGGGATGGGCAGGAAATACTGTATCTTTTCACTGGAGTCTAGAAGTCATCTTGACCAAGCCCTCATTTTATAGGTGATGCTGTGGTCATCCAAGCCTGTGAGGTTTCCTGACTTAGTCTGATCCTAGCAGTTAAATTACTTTCTGCTCCTCCTCAGAATGTGAGCTCTACGAGGGCAGCCATTTCTGTCTTCTCTGCTCCATCTGCTGTGCCTGGAATAGGGCCTAGCACATAGTAGGTGCTCAATAAATTGTTGTTGCATGACTTTCTATAGAAATTGACTGTTCACAGGGGGCTTTTATGGATATTTAACATATATTATCTAAGCCTCACAACCACCCTATAGGGTTTTTAACAACACTACTTATTAGCTCATTTTATAGGTCAGGCAACTGGAGTTGATAACTTGCCAAAATTAAATAGGAAGCTCTCTGGTTGACAGCTGACCCTTGACCTTCTAACCCTGAATTAGTGCCTTTTCTACTAGGCTCTTTTCAGCCTTTGCTCTTCTAACATTTTTTCTCCAAAGTTTAAGTCAAGGTTAAGGCTTTTATGATTCCCAAGTAAAATAGCTGAGATGCCTGGTGGTGCTGTGTATCACAGAGAGATCTCTCTCTTTGTAAATTCTGTCATAGCTGTTACTTGGTCAGCTGCAGTGAGCAGGTTCTATCTTTGCAAAGGAATGGTCAATGCAGGTACTCTTAGAGTATTAATTGTGAAATTATCTGCTGTTGTTTATTTGTTTACATCAGAATACTGTTTTTATTTATTTTTTATTGAAAGTATTACGGATTTCCCTCTCTTTTACTCCATTGACCCCTCCTTCCTGTTCCCACCCCCTCCTGCCTTCTGCACACTGTTGTCTGTGTCCATTGGTTATGCATATATGCATGTAAGTTCTTTGGTTTATCTCTTCCAACCCCTCCCACCCCTCATCCTGTTTTTATTTTGGACTCTTAATTTTTTTATGTGACAGAAACGTATTAATGAAGACATGCAACTAAATTTGTGCATTTAACTAAATCCTCCCTGAAGACAGGGACCTTGTCTTATTTACCTGTATCTCTAGTATGTGGTACATAATAGTTGCCAAACAGTTTTTATTGGATAAATTGGGGGGAATTTGACCTAATTTGTGCGTGGTAAAGTGTATTTGTGACTGGCATGTCTTCTGCAAGCTCCAAGTTTCAATTCATTGATTACTCAAGGAAACTCTTTCCTGTTTGATAGCATATGTGAGCAGCAGTGAGTTGATTTTTGTAGTTGATTCCTGCTACCAGAAAAAATTTGAAGCTCTGTTTAGCTGTAAGGAATCTTTGGGTGGAAGTGGTTGGGAGAGGGTGTAGACCCTCCTCCCCCGTCTCGGCTTATTAAAATGGCTTTACAACCAGAGAAAACCATAATTTTTAAATTTTTTTGTAGCTAAAATACATCACAGGGAAAAATGAAGAAATCACTCAGTTTAATGTAGAACAAAAAGCAAAGAAGAAAAAGAAGTTAGAGGATGAAAACAAAGATTCACTGGAGCCAGCAGAGGCTGGAGGAGTGAGAAGTGAGAATTAAACCCTGTCACCTTCCGAAGAGCAGCCCTCAGCATGTTGCCACAAAAGAAACTTTGAAGGGATAAGTGGAGATTAAAAAAAACACGGCAAGGAGGCTTGTTGTGCTGTGATCTCTTAAGTCATTGACCACAAGGGCTAGTTTTGAAGATAACTGGAAATGCTTAAGCAAAATACTCCTGTCCCGTGTCTTACTGAAGCCCATAAAAAAGGTTCGTGTTTGAAGAGTATATAGAAGAAATTATATCTATTGCAATTAATAAAATTGTGTTAGCAATTAAATATGGTTGATTTTTTCCAAGCAAAAATCAGTTTCTTTGTTCTCTTACATAATTTTTCAGTCTGACAATTCCTGAAAGCTGAATAAAGCTATATTTATTTAGTTCTTTTGATTACCAATGTTTTAAACCTGTGTCACTTGTGATCACAAGGTAAAAAGGGTGGTGCTGGGAAATGATCCTTTTAATCTTTTTTTTTTAAATATTTTTTCTATTGATTTTAGAGAGAGGAAGTGAGAGGGAGAGAGAGATAGAAACATTGATGAGAGAGAACATCTCCTGCATGCCCCCCACTGGGGATTGGGCGCACAACCTGGGCATGTGCCCTGATTGGGAATCCAACTGGTGACTTCCTGCTGCATGGGTTGATGCTCAGCCAGTGAGCCACACTGGCTGGGCTCCTTGGCTTATTTTGTAATTAAACTGTGGTTCTGCTGGGAAGAAGTTTTCCTTGAGAGGAAAACCTGGTCTACGACTCCAAACACTTCAATGTGTTGTCCTCTGTTTTAGCTTGTGAAAGGTGACGTTTCCAGGAGCCTCAGTTCTGCTCTTTGGGGTTTCTTAGAGGTCCAGGGCTTGCCTCTTCCCTGTTGGGGCAGCGGTCAAGAGAAGGGACTGGCATTTATAGAGCCTGTTCTGTGTGCCAGGCCCTGCTCTGGGTGCTCCGTATCATACTGCACTGGAGCCCGTTCAGGGCATACCTGCTTATCCCATTTCACTAATGGGCAAGCTGCAGCTTGAAGAGGTTAACAATTGCCCAGCATCTACTGACCGGTAGAGACTGTATACATTCGGGGTGCTGACTCGAGGGGGTAAGAGGAAATAGGGCATGCATTTGGGATAGCATTTTTACCATCCATGCCCAAATATGATTAGCAAAAGACACCCCTAAGTCTGATTGTCAGAGGTGGTAAGCTGCGGTCATAGTAAAGCATTGAATTAAAACTTTAGTTTCAGCTTCTGCAGATAACGAATCACTTGATCTTAGATGCTAATTGTAATACCTGTGTGTCATATCAGTGAAGGAAAAGGGAATCGCACACTTTCTGCACTGAAGACATACTGTTCTTTCATTTGTGGAGTATGGATCCTATCCTTAGCGAGGAGTAACCGTGCCGTCGGGTGGATGGCATGTTATACATGCGAGGTGCTGAGAATGTGTAATGAGGCCATCGAATAAAATCTGCAAAATACAGTAAGGATGTAAGATGCTGGTTGAGCTGCCATGACTCTCCCATCTGCAAGTATGTCTCAAGAAGTTGAATATCGTTTATGGGAATCCTATTGGGCAAAACTAAGCAATGTGCAGTGAGTGTGTGAGCCAAGGGTCCTCTGGCCATGGCGAGTTTAAAATGGAAATTTCCCTTGTGGAGTATGCACCAGGCCTTTGGAAAACTGAAAACATCAATGCTCATGTCTGGGAAGAGCTGTCAGTACTTTGGTTGCTTTACTTCCACTTAGAACCTTGCCTTGGATATTGGTCATCTTTGGTAGGTGTGCGGTGGATAGTTCAGATTTTAGTAGCGATCTCAGTTGGGGGCAGAGGGGCTGTGCATTTGTTTGTGATTCCAAAAGTGAGACCTGTGAGGAAAAGCCAGGAGGTGACACAGAGGAGGAAGCCCAGGAGCCAGTCAAGGGCAGGCCGTTCAGTAAAAATGTTTTACACCTGACGCTCCTTGTACCACATCAGAATCCGCATTTTAATCTTAATTTTAGTCAGGCGATTCGGGTTGACATCAGAGTTTGAGGAGGCCTGGGCAGGAGGAGTGTCTGGCCTGCTGGGCTGGAGACAATCACTCAGGTGGTCCCCGCCTGAAATTCTGTGGAGCCGGGCGGTACTCTGAGCGGCAACCAGACCCTCATCGCCTCCTTGTTCCTTCTGCGCATAGCTGATTCAGTCCTCCTCTTCTGTGGGCAAGATTTCAGATCACAAGCTCCTTATCCAGGGCTAAATTTATGCTGTGTTAAATCACTCCGTTTTGTTCTCATGGCCTCCTGCTTGCTGTAGGCATGATTATGGGGAAGTGCAACTTCAGAAGCAAGTGCACATGAATTGCAAAGGAAGAGCAAATCTGCTCTAAACAAGACCTGCATCTTTAATGAAGGGTTAAGTCCCATCCAAAAGCGCTTTTGTGGGCACTGATTGCTCTGGCATATGCGTCACTGCTTGAGTGTGGGGGAAGTGGGGTGTGGGCTTTCCACAGGTACGTGTACAAAACAGCTGCAGGTCGAACAAAAGATACCCTGCTCCCAGCCTCTAAAGAAGAAACCTACGTCCACAAAACACGGATTTCAGGGCTGCCAAGAAAGATGCACAGTCGCAGAGCTGGAGAGGAGCGCCCCTCAGCCCGCAGAAGGCCACTGCCCCTCTGCCTGCTGCTGCTGCTGCTGCTGCTGCTGCTCTCGGGGGCCGCCGCCGCCCCGCCTCCGGAGGGCGGCCTCCCTGGCCACCACAGTGACAGCGGGGTGAGTAGCCCCTGACTCCGCCGCATGCTCGCCCACTTTCTGGCCATGCCTGTGGACTCCCAGCATCCCCACAGCCACGTGTGTAGGACAGGCCGCAGGGCTGACCTTCGTGGTGCTCCCCTGCTGCCCTGCGGTCCTGTGATGTCCACACACAGCACGGGGTCTCGTTTACCTTCAGTTGCCCCAGCCTAGGAGGTTAGAAGGTTGTGAAACTCGAGTGGGGCTTCTTCGTGCTAGTTGTCTCCATCTGCGGGTGTTTGAATGGTGGGTGATTGTACCCGGCTGCTGCAGCGTGATCCTGGAGCTCACGCAGTGTTAGTTACCACGCGTCTAGAATCTTGACCTACAAACGCAGCACATGTTCTTACTGGCTTCGTTGCCAGTCAGTTATTCATTCATCTGAATGAATTGACGTTACATTTTTCATTGTGAGAACTTGTAACTTCATGAGGTGATTTTTTTTTTTCATTTTGAGAAAGTTCCAAGAAGAGTACATAAAGTTGACCATTAAAAATGGATTTTTCTCTGAAATTACCAGATGAGTTTCAGACAAGCCATTTATCAGATTACTCCAAGAAGCTTTCCAAGGGGTTTGAAAGACCAGAATATAATGTCTCAGTCTGATGTCTTCAAGTGCAATTTGTGGATAGCTGGGAGTAAGACCAGAGATGGGAAACCGTACTTAATTAGCCGGATTCACCTCAGGGGCTTCTTAGCTGCCAGTCACTTATCGGGGACAATGATAGATCTCCTGACCTCTTTGAATTAAGGACCTCAGCAAAGATTATGGGCAAAATAAGCAGTCTTTTTCTTTCCCTGGTTGAAAATCCTCAACTTTTCCTTTTTTTCTAATTAGAGCAATGGTGTTAAGGTGTTCTCTTAACTTTCTCATCCTTTAAATGGACATCTGATTTATTGTTCCAGAACAGATTTTTTTTTGAGGGAAGGAAGTATTTATCTTCAAATGCCGGCTGAGCCAGATGGTTGATTTTTCTTTGTCCTCTGCTTTTTTTTAAAAAGCATATGCAGGAAGTGGCAGAAATAAAGAAAAACAGCCTGTTGACTTTCCTTGCTTGGTGGTATGAGTGGACCTCCCAGGCCAGTGTGCCCTTCACGGGAGGGGAAGCCAGGGAGGTGTCCAAGCGGCAGGAAGGCCCGCCCCCTCAGCAGTCCACACGCCCAGATAAAGCGCCCTGCAAGAATTTCTTCTGGAAGACCTTCTCCTCCTGCAAGTAAAACTCCACCCATGATTACTCATGCAAGGAAGTGTAAAGATGGACCCAAATAAAATATCTTAAGCCTCTGTGACCTTTCTTTATGTACTTGACTTCTCGTTTCTGTGTAATCTGAAAAGTATTTTTTATTTAAACTACAGTAACGTCCAACACTGAGTGTCTTGAGTAATCTAGAACCCAAAGTGAATTATTTTTGATAGATTTTTGTGGGGTTTGCTGTGTTGTACTGAGTGCAGCCACGGGGCTTTCCCTCCACCTTCATTATATCTTCCTTTCTTTGATTTAAAATAGCTAAAGGCTATGTATTTAAGAGTTCAGAATGACATCTTCAGTTTATATTGATATACGTTGTCTAATTAAAAAATATTTCCCTCATATTAAAAGCAAATTTTTAACATTGCTCAAAGAGAAAAATGGTATTCCTCATGCTTTAGCAAAAATGAATTTAAAAACAAATGTCATGCTGTTAAACAGACATCATGCTGACATGTTTATAGAAGTTATATTTGAACCTGCTGTTACACACATACTAGTTTTAATTAGTAAGTTATTCATTTGTTAGAATTCTTTTCATGGATGAGTGCTTCAGGTTTATTTCATACCAAAAACGGTGAGCAGAGCTGCTGCCCAGCCTATGTAGCCTGCTTGCCTCGACTTGTAATCCGAGGACCTGACTCACAGGATCTGGACCTCGTTTGGAGACAGGTGCATATGTATCGGTATGTATTATGTGCATAATTGTAATTCATGTCTCCCCATTCCTCAGCGATTCCCCACAGAAGTGACATGAATGATTGTTAAGGGAGGGGGCGTTGCTTTCCTGTGATACAACGCAGAACAACTGTTGAGCCCCACGTGGAGCAGGATTGGGGCTGCTCAAATGAAGTTAGGAGCAAACAAGCTGCTCAGTTTCAAAACCTTAATCAGATTTTTAATTCTTCCTCCATAGCACTGAAGTCCTTGCTTGATTACATAAGTTTACAACTCTTGAATCATAGATTCTAAAGAAAGTTTCCAGGGTGAGGTTTTTAGATGCTGAATTTGAAAGCTTAACGATTCACTCCTGGAGTTAGGGAAAGTGTGAGGGTCAGGCATAATATTGGGAAAACTGGCAAAGGCTGGCTGGAGGGCACTGTGATATTACTCTCTTCTCTGACACCAGGGGAGCAGACTCTAGGAGTCTGACTGCTGACCATTCCGTTCTGTTTTCCGCAGAGCCGAGCTCATATTCATAATTACTAGCTGAGTAAAAGTATAATGTGATAGCAGAGCCATAATAGCATCCACATTTCCGAGCACAGCAGCTTTAGACCAGTAACTGGGTCAGCGCACTGATGGAAGATGTTTGCCTGAAGACCAGCTAATCTTCAGAACTTTGTCTTATTTTTCTAGAAGAAAAGCATGGACATTGTTTTTCAGTTTCGATTGAGGTCACATACATAGTCCTTAAGACTGGGACTTTAACTTTGAACTAAGTAATACCTGAAGGATAATGAGGCTAAACTAATGATACTGCCAGGCAATCCATCAAGTCTGAGCCTACCTTAGTTCAGGGGAATTAATGAAATGTTAGCTGGCACCAACTGCATGTTAGATTAGATTAATATGCTCATGATGAACAAAGTAAGGTAAAATGGGTAATTAGGGTAATTTCCTACCATCAGGTAGGACTTTTCTTGAAGTCTACCTTTCTGTAGTTAGGTATAGTCCGAAGTGTAAATCTGGACGTCAGTACCTGGACAAGTTCTAATTCACTGTCTTCCATTTATTTCTAGCATTTATCACCAGAATTGATCCCTCTTTGCTGAGGAAGAGTTGTGACATAAGCACTCAGCAGAAATCCCTTCCTACTATTCATATTTCAGGGCTGACAGCAAACCATTCCAGGCTTTAGGAAACTCAGGCCAGGAAGCTCACAGGAGATACTTAAACAACTGATTGAACAGCACCTGCTGAAGGGACAACCCACATCTTAACTGTAGTAACTTCTTCTGTGGAGATATAGATCCCATTCTGAACACACCAGAAGAGGAAACATCATCTAGGTGGCAAAAAGAAGGACGTTTTCTGTTTCTAGGCTAGAAAGGAAGAGGCAGTCTGGCCAGTATGGTTCAGGGGTTGAGCATCGACCTATGCACCAAGAGGTCGCTGGTTCGATTCCCTGTCAGGGCACATGCCCAGGTTGTGGGCCTGATCCCCAGTGCGGGGCACGCAGGAGGTGGCCAATCCATGTTTCTATCTCTTGCACCCTCTCCCTTCCTCTCTAAAATCAGTAAAGAAAAAAGAAGAGGCAGAGGACAGCTGAGAACCCACCTTTTTGTTTCTCAAAACCCTAATAAAAACAAAATATTGACCCTTTTACTTTTTTTTTTTTTTTATCCTCACCCGAGGACATTTTTTGTTCAGGTAGAGTGGGAGGAAGAGAGAGAGAGAGAGAGAGAGGGAGAGAGAAACATCGATGTGAAAGGGACACATCGAGTGGCTACCACCCGCACGACCCAACCAGGGCTGGGGACAAACTGCAACCGAAGTACATGCCCTTAGCGGGAACCGAACCCAGGTCTCTCCGGACCGCAGGCTGATGCTCTAACCGCTGAGCCAAACCGGCCAGGGCTAATTTACCCTTAAAAAAAAAAAAATTAAGCAGTTAAGTAGTCAAGAGTACATGTGCAGCCTTGGCTGGTTTGGCTCAGCAATTAGAGCGTTGGCCCTCAGACCAAAGGGGTGCAGATTCGATTCCCAGTCAAGGGCACATACCTCCGTTGCAGGTTCAATTCCCAGCCTCACATTGGTGTTTCTCTCTCTTTCTCTCCCCCTCCCCCGCCTCCCCAAAGTCAATGGAAGAATATCCTCAGGTGAGGAGTAAGAAAAATACATGTGTTTATCTTACAATAATTATAAACTGGAGAAAAGGTAGAATTTTTTTGGTTCTGGGTCTTGTAACATGGTATTGGAAAATTTTGAAGAAAACCCAGTATCTATGCATTAACTTGTGTGTGTACTTCCTTGTAATTACATAAGTGTTATCTGATTTAATTCAAGCAAATACCCAACTTTAAGGTTCTGCAATCTGAAAATCCAGTGTGCCTCCTGGGGAGTGAGTCTCTTCCCCTCATTGGAGGCTTCCACATAGGATGGGGGGACCCCCAGAGTCAGCTGTGTAGAGAACTCAGGCAGTGGATGGGTGTTCAGACTAGATCACGTACAAGGTCCTTAAAAACCTCAGGATATAAAAGATACAACCAAAATAATTTAAGGCAAGACCATACAAATAAAATGTTGAAAAACCTTGAAAGCAAAAAAAAAAAAAAGGGGGGGGGGGAATTAAACAGCTAAACAATCTGGTTAGCAAAGGCACATTGGTAATTCTTGTATCAATGCAGGGTTTTTTTGCAGACAACTATTATTTTATTCCTTTCTCTCTGGAAAATGAAAAATCCACTAGTTTTTTTCCTTTTGCTTTTACTCAGAAATTAAAGGTTCGTAAGTGGTAATTAGCACAGCTCCTGTCAAAGCCAATTGCCTAATGGGGACCGACATTTGACTTGAGTTGAAAGAACAGAATATGGCAAATGCAGAGTTCATTAGTCCCAGCTGCTTTCGTTGACGTTTTCTCATACCAAAGAACAGGCATGACCTGCTCTCCCTCCTATTTTCAGACATACTGCTGTGCTGCTGCTTTTCTTTTTCTTTATTGATTTTAGAGAGAGAGAAACATTGATGAGAGAGAACATCGATTGGCCGCCTCCTACCTGCCCCGCACTGGGTATCGGGCCCACAACCTGGGCATGTGCCCTGACTGGGAATCAAACTGGCGACCTCCGGGTGCATGGGTCGACGCTCAACCACGGAGCCACACCGGCCGGGCTACTTTTCAATTTTAGAAGGTCTGGAGCACAGTGGTGGAGGGAGGGTAGATGGTTACCAGGGCCAATCCAGTGTTTACACTACACATTTGGGCTAGAGTTTGCAGACTAAGGTCTTTGCCCTACAGACCCATAGACAGGTGTCTCCTAAGAACACATTCCCATCTTTGCTCCCTCCCCTATCTCTGTCCTGGGAAGTGAAAGGGAACCACTCTATAGTCTACTATGCCAGGTACTGTGCACCTTCTCACATATCATTTAGCCCTTTCAATCTTGGGGCCTTACACTAACCTTATATTTTTGGAAACTAAAGTCCTAAAAGGTTAGACTCAACATGGGTTTGTTGCACTCCAAACCCACAGTATTTTTTCCATTATCCTGTGCAGCTGAGATGCTTGGTAAATTTAAGTACAAAATACCAATAGCCAGGCCAGTCAACCAAAGCTCCACTGTGTATTTGACGGAAATAAGATGTTGATAGAATTGATGGAGAGAGATACCATTCCATAGCTTCCTTTACTATTATGGTAACTAGTGTTCATGAGGTTGATTTACTTTTCATACCCCACCAGTACAATGACTATAATTAGAAACCTTTGGCAATTATGTTATAGACATTAGGCATTTTCCGGTGGGAGTTGACTCCAACTTATTACACTGGTATAATAAAACCAGTGCTTTGGATGTAGAATCAGAGTGTGGGGACCTAAAAGAAAAGACAAGTGGAAAAAGCACTGGAACTAGAATCAGAAGGACCTTGGCCACCCAGCTGTAACAGGCCAGTCACTGAACCTCACTGGGCACAACTTTCTCATGTATAAAATGAGAGGCAACGGGCCTCGCCTTGCCTGGCCCACTGTTTGTGAGGCGCCGGTGTGGTAGGTGCTATGGGAATTCTTAGCTGGCATTACTGCCCCTTCAGGGACATTTTGAACATATGTGGGGAAGCTTTTAGTTGTCATAATATCTGAAGGTTGCTGTTGGCATTGAGTGGGTGGGGGTAGGGGGTGGGATGCACGTCTTCCAGCAATTTATAGGACAATTCCATACGACGAATTGTCTCGCATCCCGTGGGACTTCTGAATGTTATGTTGGGCATTCATATGGATGAAAACCTGTTCCAGTTATCCTAGCCTGAAACCGAATTCTGTTTTATATAGAAATACAAAGTATTTTCCCTAGTTTTAATGTTCCCTAGATTTTTCAGGAATGCAGATACCTAGTGAATAAAAGGACAAATGGGCCAGCTGGTGTGGCTCAGTGGATTGAGTGTCATCCCATGGACCAAGCAGTACCGGTTTGATTCCTGGACAGGGCACATGCCCGGGTTGTGGGCTTGATCTGGGATTGGGGTGTGCAGGAGGCAGCCAATTAATGTTTCTCTCATATCGATGTTTTTATCTCTCTTAAGAAAAAAAATCAATAAAAACATAAAAAAAAAAAAAAAAAAGACAGATGCCCTGGCCAGTGTGTTTCAGTGGTTAGAGCGTTGACCCATGCACTGAAGGGTCATGGGTTTGATTCCCAGGTTCCATCCCGGGTCCTGGTCAGGGTGCACCTGGGAGGCAACCGATCCATGTGTCTCTGTCCCTTCCCTCTCTTCCTCTCTTCCAGTCTCTCTAAAAATTAATGGAAAAAAAAATCCTCAGGTGAAGATTAACCACCAACAACAAAGAAACATGTTTTTTTGTTCAGAAGGTCAATGATAGGGGAAATCCCATTATAAGGGCAATGCTGCTTGTGGTATTTGAATTGACAGTCACTACATACACGTCTGGCTGCCCCTGTCAAATTCACAGTAATTCAATATCTAAGTACAAGCATCTTACAGCTGCATTGTGCCGTCGGTATAGTCATGTCCAGACAGAGACACACTGAGATACATGCCATTTTATTGGAAAGTTTTTTTTGTTTCTTCTGAGTTATTACACTTGGGATATTATATCAGTACTTTTGAAAGGATGCATGTAGGTAGGTTATCAGCCCTGGCTTTCATTTAAGGATAATTAAGGAAGCATAATAAAATATGCCATTAAAAAAGGAAATGTTGGGGCTAATAAGTGAGAACCAGGGGTGTAAGGCATTAGTGAAAGGATGCTGACTACATCTGAGCCCTCCTTTAAGACCACAGGAAAAGGAAACAGTTCTTTGTGTTCTGTTGGTTTTCTGCATCCATTCTGGCCCCAGGACTTACTGTTATACTTCTTTGCTTAATAATTAGTCAATGTATCTCTTAGTAGAATTCTATTTTCCTCTAAGCATGCTTAAAAAAAAATCCAAACAAGTCAATGATAACCCATTATCTTTTCCCTGCAAGGAGAATGTACTGGAGATGACAAAACCTGAAGAGTAAATCTGTACAGAACAGGAGGTATGTAATCCAGAGTCTGCTTTGCACCCAGAGACTCGGAGTCATATCTCATGGAAATCGATTTAATGACCTTTTCTGCCCCCTGCTGATAAAACATATTAGAAAACTGAAGAGTTTCAGATATAATTTCACAATACTGAACTGGATATTAGAAATGGTGAGACTCTCCATATGTCCCTGTGGTCTGCAAACTTAATATGTGCCTTTGAACAAACAAAAAAGTTCATTAACTGGAGAAACAAGTTTGTCACCATGATCAACACTATTATGTCACCTTCTCTACCATTATTTGTTTAAATTTTGCATTTCTATCCTAAGAACAGGATAGTGAGTTTCAAGTATGACAATTTCTTTTCACTGCCCTTCATAATTACTTTAAAACAGAGAACATAAGAACATGTAACTAGAGGAGGTGGGATATATTGATGCATCATTCAAAATGGGTAGACGGGCAGATGTTGAGATCTAGAATAGCTTTTCTGGAGGGGGCATGGAGCCAGTCTTCCAGCCTCTTCCAGGAGAACATGCTCCAGGGCAGGGGGCAGAGTAGTATACAGGGAGCTGAAAAGGCTGAAGGGATTTACTGATAACAGAACCAAGGTCACAGGGTTCTCTTTGGCATATTTGCAGCTACAGCTATGTGGCATCTTGCTTAGCTCGTTTGGGATTCTGCAGTTCTCCGGGCACTGAGTTCCTCCGTGCTGAAATATTCCTGAGAGAATGCAGACTCTGCACCTGCTGGAGGCGCAGGCTCAGCTCCTGATTACAGGCTTGTTGAACAGCTTCCGTCTTCTTTACGTCCCAGTTCAAAGCAACAGCCAGTGCTTGGGGGTCTTCCTTGGTAACCAACTGCGGCAAAAATAACAACCACTGAGAACCACTACCTCTGCCTGCCTCAGTGCTGCTCCCACGGCTTCTTTAGGGGAATGAAGTTAGGCAATACGGGTGTGTTATGTCCCTGCAGAAATGCCAGGTCTCCTTCATATTAAACTATCATAGGCCTTCTCTCACCATACAACACCAACAGGAAAGGCTCTTTGGAAAGTTTACTTGGAGCAAATACAAGTCCTCTACCTACAGGAAATTTAGCCAAGTTCAAGTCAATACAGTTTCCTTCCCTTCTAGCCACAATTGGGAAGGTAGTTGGGAAAGGATAAAGACGAAGAATAAGAAATGGCCCCCACTGTGATGGGTTCTCTTTGTCAGCTTGTAGTTCCCTGGTCTTAGAGCCAGCACAGTGCGGTCTCCTTTCCCTATGACAGTTTATGTGCCTCGATTGCTGACAAACCACCGACAGAACCAGAAGCCATGTCACAAGCGGAGCCCCGCTGTTCCTCCCTGTCAGCTTTTGTCACTTCATTACCCACTTTGGGTCAGAAAATAATGTTTGATGACCAGTGAGCGTGCATCCATTTTGTTTAAGCCATTCTGATTCAGATTACATGAGATGTTGCAAGTGCTCTGGCATACAATAGGCAAATTGGCAGCTGCAGAGGTGAAAAAAATCCCACAAGCCTCTGTAGAGCTATACTACACCTCCAGGGGGAGTTGTTCTCTGTAGTTCAGGGTCCCTGGTTCTTGCCCACCTCCAAATCCTGACTGGATAGACTCAGCTCTGGAGCAGGCTTCTCCTTCAGTGCAGTAAGGATCTGGCTTGCAAGGGCAATTTCGGAGGAGCTCTCTCTGCTCATACCCGTGTCAACTGTATCCATCTCATCACCGAAGCCAGCTTTGGACTCTGCAAAGCACATGTGAGACGGAGATCAGCAGGTTGTGTAAACACACAGCCACACAAACCAACAGTAGAACAATCAGGTGTGCAAGACAGAAACATGTCATTTCAAAGTGCCAGCAACTGTGGTTTCACTGTTTTTGACTACGTTACATTTGTTCTCTCTCAAGGAAAGCCTCCATAGGCACCAAGTTCTCAGTTACTCCCCCAGCCAGTGAGTCCTACCTTGCTGCTGGGACAGAATGCTGCCCTCCTTCTCCAAAGCCTGGAGATAAAGCTCCAAGAGCTGCTTGGACTGACGGGCTTCCTCTCTCTGGTCAAGCACCTGCTGGAGGGTGTTCTGCAGCCCCTGGACTGTGACACAACTTTGGCATAGTTCCTGAGCCAGTTCTGAACAGGGAACATCGATGAGCACCTAACAAACAAAGATGGACTTTAAGAAACCTGAGTGCTTTCTAAGCATGGTGTTAACTTTCAAATCCATCGGTTTCAGAGACTCATTTAGTCTATGTTCCAGTTACCTACTATGACTGCCTAAGAGTCAAGAGAGAGGCGTGTAATTTTTTCAGTTTTCCTCTGGTGAAAAAATTTAAAAAATGATGCCCTAGTGCCTCATTAAAAATGAAACAAAATCCTGATTCTTAAGAACCCAATTGTACAGAATATAAAGGAAGTGTATGATTATTTATTTATTTATTTACTTATTTTTATTCCTCATCTGACGATATTTTTCTACTTATTATCAGATAGAGTGGGAGGGAGGGAGGGAGAGAGAGAGACAGAAACACTGATGTGATAGAGCCACATCGGCTGGTTGCCTCCCGCATGACCCCTGACCAGGGCCGGGGACGAACAGTAACTGAGGTATGTGCCTTTGATCAGAATCAAACCCGCGACTCATTGGTCCGCAGGCCAACGCTCTAACTGCTGAGCCAAACCGGCCAGGGCAGTGTATGGTTATTTATATAATGAATCAATCTGAGGTTGTTTTTTAAGTGAAAGTTTTCCTAATGATTCTAACCTTAAACATTTTTATTATGCATTTTCATAGCTTTAAAAGACTCTTATTTTTAAAATATAAACTATACTATCGGATCCAGCAATACATCAAAAAAATTATTCACCATGACCAAGTGGGATTCATCCCAGGGATGCAAGGCTGGTACAATATTTGCAAATCAATAAATGTGATACACCACATAAACAAAATGAAGGATAAAAACCACATGATCATATCAATACATGCTGAAAAAGCACTCGACAAAATCCAGCACCCATTTCTGATAAAAATGCTCAGCAATGTGGGAATAGAGGGATCATATCGCGACATGATAAAGGCCATATATGAAAGACCTACAGCCAGCATCATACTCAATGGGCAAAAACTAAAAGCATTTCCCTGAAAAACAGGAACAGCCCTGGCTGGTTTGGCTTAGTGGTAAGAGTGTCGGCCTACGGACCACAGAGATCAGGGTTCAGTTCCCGCTAGGGGCATGTACCTCGGCTGCAGTTTGTCCCCAGCCCTGGTTGGGTTGTGTGGGTGGCGGCCACTTGATGTACCCCTTTCATGTTGATGTTTCTCTCTCTCCCTCCTGCTCATCTGAATAAAAAATGGAAAGGTGTCCTCGAGTGAGGATTAAAAAAAAAAAGAACAGGAACAAGACAGGGATGGCCACTTTCTCCACTCTTATTTAACATAGTACTGGAAGTCTTAGTCACAGCAATCAGACATGAAGAAAAAAATAAAAGGGATCCAAACTGGAAAGGAGGAAGTGAAACTGTCATTATTCACAGATGACATGATATTATATATAGAAAACCCTAAAGACTCCATCAAAAATCTACTAGATTTAATACATGAATTTGGCAAAGTAGCAGGATACAAAATTAACGTCAGGAAATCGACGGCATTCTTATACACCAATGATGAACTCACAGAAAGAGAAACTAAAAAAACAATCCCATTTACCATTGTGGCATAAAAAAATTAAGATACCTAGGAATAAACTTAACTGAAGAAGTAAAGGACCTATTTGCAGTAAACTACAGGACATTGAAAAAAGAAATAGAGGAAGATATAAAAAAGTGGAAGCACATACCTTGTTCATGGATTGGAATAATTAACATCATTAAAATGTCCATATTACCCAAAGCAATCCATAGATTCAATGCAATCCCCATCAAAATACCAACGACATATTCCACAGAACTAGAACAAATATTTCAAAAGTTCATATGGAACCAAAAAAGACCCCGAATAGCCACAGCAATCTTGAAAAAGAAGGACAAAGTAGGTGGGATCACAATACCGGATATCAGGTTATACTACAAAGCTACTGTAATCAAAACAGCCTGGTACTGGCACAAGAACAGGCATATAGACCAGTGAAACAGGAGAGAGAACCCAAAAATGGGCCCAAGACATTATGCTCAATTAATATTTGACAAAGATGGCAAGAGCATACAGTGGAGTAAAGACAGCCTCTTTAATAAATGGTGCTGAGAAAATTGGACAGCTACATGCAAAGAAATGAAACTAGACCATAAACTTACACCATACACAAGAATAAACTCAAAATGACAAAAGACTTAAATGTGACCCATGAATCCGTAAAAATCCTAGAAGAAAATGTAGGCAACAAAATTTCAGACATCATACGCAGCAGAACTTTCACTGATACATCACCTAAGGTAACGGAAACAAAGGAAAAAATGAACACGGGGGACTACATCAAACTAAAAAGCTTCTTCACAGCAAAAGAAACAACCATCAAAATGAAAAGGCAACCCACTGTATGGGAGAGCATAACTGCCAATGATACATCAGATAAGGGGTTAATCTCCAAAATACGTATATAGAGTACTCATACAACTCAACAAAAGGAAGACAAAGAACCCAATTAAAAAATGGGCAGAGGAGCTAAATAGACACCTCTCCAAATAGGACATACAAATGGCCAAGAGACTTAAGAAGAAATGCTCAACATCACTAATCATCAGAGAGATGCAAATTAACACAACAATGAGGTATTACCTCACATCTGTCAGAATGGCCGCCATCAACAAATCATCAAACAAGTGTTGGCGAGGTGTGGAGAAAAGGGGACTCTAGTACAATGCCGATGGGAATGCAGACTGGTATAGCCACTATGGAAAACACTATGGTGTTACTTCAAAAAATTCAAGATTTGAACTGTCATTTGACCCAGTGATCCCACTTGTAGGAATATATCCTAAGAAGCCTGAAACACCAATCAGAAAGAATATATGTACCCCTATGTTCATAGCAGCACCATTTACAATTGCTAAGATCTGGAAACAGCCCAAGTGTCCATCAGTAGACGAATGGATAAAAAAGCTGTGGTACATATACACAATGGAGTACTATGCAGCTGTAAGAAAGAAAGATCTCTTATCCTTTGAGACAACATGGAGGGCCCTGGAGAGTATTATTCTAAGTGAAACAAGTCAACCAGAGAAAGACAAATATCACATGATCTCACTTATTTGTGGAATATAATGAACATAACAGTCTGAGGAACAGGGTAGACCCAGAAATGTGGAAGTAGGGTACAGATTGACAACCCTCAGAAGAAGGGGTGGGGAGGAGGGAAGAGATAAACGACAGAACTTATATGTATGTACACATAACCGATGGACATGGACAACAAAGCTGGAGAGGGGTGGGGAGGATGGGGAGGAGAATGTCAATGGGGAAAAAAGGAGAAACATCTGTAACAAATATAAATTATTATAAAAATAAAATATAAACTATACTAAGCTTTTACTTATTTTTATACTAAGCTTTTAAATAACATGTTCAGTCTGAAATAAGAGAGACCTCACTTATATCCTAAATTGGCTATAAAGATATATATATTTTTTTTTATCCTCACCCAAGGACGTTTTTTCATTTTTTGTACAGATAGAGTGGGAGGGAGAGAGAGGAAGAGAGAGAGAGGGAAACATTGATGTGAAAGGGACACATCGAGTGGCCGCCACCCGCACGACCAACCAGGGCCGGGGACAAACCGCAACCGAGGTACATGCCCTTAGCAGGAACCGAACCCGGGTCTCTCCAGACCACAGGCGGACGCTCCAACCGCTGAGCCAAACTGGCCAGGGCAAAGATAATTTTTAAGAAGGCTCATTCTTTTGGCATATACTAAATTAAAAATAGTTTTCATAGCCTGGCTGGTGTTGCTCAGTGGTTGAGCGTTGACCCATGCACCAAAGGTTGCTGGTTCGATTCCTGGTCAGGGCACATGCCCAGGTTGTGGGCCTGAGCCCCAGTGGGGGGCATACAGAAGGCGGCCAATCGATATTCTCTCTCATCGATGTTTCTCTCTCTCTCCCTTGCCCTTCCTCTCTCTCTAAATCAATAAAGAAAAACATTTTAAAAAACAGTTTTCAGCCCTGGCTGGTTTGGCTCAGTGGTAGAGTATCGGCCTGCGGTCCAGAGAGACCCGGGTTCGGTTCCCGCTATGGGCATGTACCTCAGTTGCAGTTTGTTCCCAGCCCTGGTTGGGTTATGCAGGTGGCAACCAGTCGATGTGTCCCTTTCACGTCGATGTTTCTCTCTCTCTCTCTCCCCCCTCCCCACTCTATCTGAACAAAAAATGGAAAAAAATGTCCTTGGGTAAGGATTAAAAAAAAAAGTCTTCAGCCCTGGCCAGTTTGGCTCAGCAGTTAGAGTGCCGACCCACGGACCAGAGAGTCCCAGGTTCGGTTCCCGCCAAGGGCACATACTTCGGTTGCGGTTCATCCCCGGCCCTGGTTGAGGTCGTGTGGGTGGCAACCAGTCGATATGTCTCTCTCACATCGATGTTTCTCTCTCGTTTTCTTCCTCCTCCTCTCCCTCCTGCTCTGTCTGAAGATAAATGCAAAAAAAAAAAAAAAAGTCCTCGATTGAGGATAAAAAAAATATAGTCTTCATAACAGAAAGATCCAATTGTTGAAAATCTTGGGAAATTACTAAACTCTTGCCTCATTTTCATCATCTGTAAAGTGGAGTAATACTAGTACCTCCATCATCAGATTTGTACTTCCTGAATTTCTTCCCTTCCCTTCCATCTGTTCTCACTGCCCGAAGTCCCTGCTGTGATGGTGCCTTTTCTTTACCTGCAGAGCCAGCCTCTGCAAGCCCCCTTTAAGTGTCCCAAACCTCCCTGCGGAGCCCAGCTGTCAGGGCTCATGCTCACTCATATTCTGATGTCCCTATTTTGTAAGGACTATGGTGCTTTTTATTCTAAGGGTATACTATAATACTCTACTCCGTTGGGATGGGGAGGCATCTCTTGGCCCTTTTCTGTTTCTGAAAAAAGAAAAAGAACTCAAGCTTGCTCCTGCCTTCCCTCTGCCTGGAACTCTATCCCCAACTTTCCAAGGCAGGCTCCACTCTGTCCCTTCAGCTCTCAATTTAATCGTCACCTCTTGGAAACCTGCCAATGTTTATCAACTATGCTTATATATATTTGTTCTATGCACAAGTATGTGTGCAAAATGACACTGTGTTTTTGCAGTATTGTCTGATGACAGCCCAACCGTCCACCAGTGGGGGGGACTTGTTAAACCAATCGTGGTACATGCACGAAATGCAATACTATGCAGTGGTAAAAAAGAACCAAGATGTCTTTTATATACTGATCTGGATATTCTCCAAATACTTCTTTAAAAACAGAGTAGATGCGCTTCCATTTGTGTAATATAGGAGAAGAGAAAATAAATATGTATTTGTATATGAAAATCACTGGAATAGGCCCTGGCTGTTTTGGCTCAGTGGTTAAAGCGTTGGTCTGCGGACCAAAGAATCTCGAGTTTGATTCCGGTCAAGGGCATGTACCTCAAACCTCAGTTGCGGTTCATCTGCGGCCTTGGTCAGGGTCACGTGGGAGGCAACCAACTGACGTGTCTCTCTCACATTGGTGTCTCTCTCCTCTCTCTCTCTCCCCCCCCCCCCCATTCCTCTCACTCTATCTGAAAATACATGGAAAAATATCCTTGGGTGAAGATTTAAAGTGTACAATTAAGTGGGTTTTAGTATATTCAGAGTTCTACAATCATCAGCACAACTATTTGAGAATATTTTCACTACCCCCAAAAGAAACTCTGTACCTACTACTAGTCACTCCCTATGTCTCCTTAGAGTTCCCCACCAACCGTAGCCCTAGGCACCCCTAATCTACTTTCTGTCGCTACAGGTTTGTGTATTCTTGGCCTTTTCACAAAAGCAATAATAAAATATGGCCTTTCATATCTGGCTTCTTTCCCTTATCTATGTTGCAGTGTGTATTAATAATTCATTCCTTTTTATGGCTGAATAATATTCCATTAGTTGGATATATCACATTTTATCATTTTACTTATTCATCAGCTGATGGGACACTGGGCTGCTTTCGCTTTTTGGCTACCTGGATATCAATACTTCTATACCTCTTGGATTTTAAACATGTGAATTTTTAAACAGTGCTGCGTTGTTCACCACTGGACCCCAGTGTACAGAGGCATGCTAGACATAGGACAGGGTCTCAATAAATAGTTTTTGCATTAACACATGCTATTTTATTCCAACTTGACTGGAGAGGTAATGCTGGCAGAGAAGCTAAGTTACTGGCTCAAAGTCATAGTGATAGAGCTGGGACTTTTAAAATTATTATTTTTTAATCCTCACCCAAGGATATTTATCCATTGATTTTTAGATAAAGTGGGAAGGAGGGAGAAAGGGGGAGAGAGAAAGAGAGAAACATCAGTGTGAGAGAGACACACTGATTGGTTGCCTCATGCAGGACCCCGACCAGGGCGAATCTGCAACCAAAGTACATGCCCTTGACCAGGAATCAAACCCGAGACTCTTCGGTCTACAGGCCGACGCTCCAACTGCTGAGCCAAACTGGCCAGGGCTGGAACTGGGATTTAATCGAGCTATTCCATCTCTACATTCTCTGGCAGAACATCCTCGACCCCAAGAGTGGCCCTAGGTAGGTCTAGGTTGGGGCCTGGGCATCTGTATGTTTTCAAATCTCCATAGGTAAAAAATAAAAATAAAAAGCTCCATAGGTGATTCTGATGCAAGGTGAGGGTTGAAAAACTCCTACTCCAGGTGAGCATATTAGAAAAGGAAGACTCTTGGTTGTCATCTAAGAAATATGTAAAACTTAATAAATAATAAAATATTATGGCAAGACACCTGGAAACTAAGAAACTGTTGGGGCGGCAGAGACCAGAGGAGTGGCTGTAAGTTACAGAGGAGGCTTACTTGGAGGTCCTCCTCTGATAGGAGGATGATGCTGGACAGGTCTTCTTTCAGCTGCCTGGCCACATTCTTCCACTTCAACCCTGCCCCGCTGTCTGTTTCATCTATATCCACGGACTCCTGGGAAATCCAAGCAGTACCTCCATCTGATATACAGGGGAAAAGGCCAGCCACGGTCAGATGAACTTGAAGTGCTGTTTTACGTCCTACCCCAACACACACAGCCCTCCAGGATGTCTGCACAAACTTCTGACTGACCTTTTAGAATAATTTCAATGGAGAAGGAATCACCTTTTCTCAAGGATTTATGGTAAAGCCAATCCCCAACTAGGACCTTAGTTTTTCCTCTCCTTTCCATCTTTACTTTATTTCTGTATGTAACTGCTTTTTATTCTTTTATGGGAAGAAGCTACTTACACCCAGTGTGTGGTCATGCATACCCAGGATCCTGCCATACTTCCCTTTAGGTTAGTTTTTATGTCTCTGGATTCTGCCTTTGTATACAAAACATTCACCAGCATGTCTGTGCTTGTGGATCGGTCTCACCCTTGACTGGAGGAGCTTCGGCTCTGCTGTCCCTAGGGCCTGAGTACAAAGGTGGCTGGTACAGCCATTGCTGAAGGTTAATTCCTAAATTTAGTGGCATGAAGACTTTTCTTAAAACATTTCTTTAGCTCTTTGATCCTTGTTCATCAATGTTAGTTCCCTTTGTCAGTGATTTTGCTCCCCTGGGAGACATTTGACAATGTCTGAAGGCATTTTTGGTTGTCACAATTGGGGTGCGAAGATGCTACTGGCACATAGAGGGCAAAGGCCAGGGATGCTGCTAAACTTTCTTTCTTTTTATCCTCTCCCGAGGACATTTTTCCATTTTTTGTTCAGATAGAGTGGGAGGGAGAGAGAGGAAGAGAGAGAGAGAGAAACATCAATGTGAAAGGGACACATTGAGTAGCTGCCACCCGCACGACCAACCAGGGCTGGGGACAAACTGCAACCAAGGTATGCGCCCCTAGTGGGAACCGAACCCGGGTCTCTCTGGACCGCAGGCTGACACTCTAACCGTTGAGCAAAACTGGCCAGGGTGATACTGCTAAACTTTCTATGATGCCCACAACACCCCACAACAAAGAATTCTCCAGCCCATGTCAATAATAATGTTGAGAAACCCTGGTTTGACATGTACTATGTTCTATTATCCTTATAACAACCCTAGGAGACAGGCACCATAATTATCTCAATAAGGTGCTAAGAAGTTGGGTAATTTGTCCAAGGTCACAGGCTAGTAAATGGCAGAGCCAGGATTTAGATGGGGCAGCCTGACGCTACTTGTGGCACTGGTCTCTCTGCCATGCTGCATTTTAGTTGCTGTCGGTCTGTGAGTTATTTGAGAACTGGACCCATGTCTCATTCATCTTTATCCCCAGACTCAGCACCACACCTGGCATACAGAAGGTGCTCAGTAAACATCTGCTACATAAATGCTTAAACAGCCAGGCAAACAGTAATTAGCTGCCTGTGCAGTAAAATGAATCGTGATGGACGTTGTATTGCATAGATCATTTTAGACATGGTTAGCATTTCTTACCTGAGTTGTTGTACGCCCACTTCTCATTACCGGCCAATGCCACAAACTTAGTATTAGAAGGTAGACACAGGAAGTAATCATCATCATCCACTATGGTGCCATCCTCTGCCAGGACCAGGGTGACTGGTGCCAGGGACTTATCAATGGCCAGGATGTCATAGGCTGAGAGAAATAAAATATTTGGCAGTTGGCAAGTATCCATAATAAAACTACATGTTTCCTTTCACCCACAATTTGTATGCCCTTAGAGCCTAGCCGACTTCCTGGTAGGTAATGATAACTACAATAAAACGCACAACTTTAGTAGCACTAATATAACACTTTCATGTGCATGGTACTGTTCTAAGTGCTTTACAGATAGAGTATTTAATCTTATAACAATCCTATGAGGTAGGTACTATTGTTATTCCCATTTTACAGACATCAAGCACAAGGCTCAGAGAAGTTAAGTAGCTTGTCCAAGATCACACATTAAGCGACAGAACTGGTATTTACACCCACACAGTCTGACTACATTCCTTGTAAATAAGCAGGCTTTCAGTCATTTACTCGGTGGTCATCTTATATCCTCCTCTGTCGAAGAAGAAAAAAAAAAAAAAGGAAAAAAAATGTAATTCTTTTTGTTCTTTGTAGTATCTTTCTTTGTAGCCTTCATAACCTATAGGAAAGTATAAAGAAGCAGGAGTTTGCATCAGTAGCCTAAAATGCTAATGGGACTAGCGTAAGTAGGTAAGTAGCCAAAAGACTACAATATCCTCTGGCAATGTTATCTATAGGTGGAGCTCCAGAAATAGCACTTACATACACAAGCCTCTGCTAAGTGCTACCAGGAAGTGCACTAAAACTTTACCTAATGCCAAAAAACAAACGAACAAGCAAAAAGAACCCAACAACAACAACAACAAAATGTAAACACTTATGTCGCAAAAGCTATGTCCCCAAAGCACTGAAAGTACTTAGGCTGCTCCTGGGTCTCTCAAAGACTTCTGTTTGCCTTCTCTCTGGGCCTGGCGACCTTGAGAGGTAGCCCTGAACACTGGCACACACTGGGACCACATGCCTGGGGCCACTCACACGTCTAGCAGGCACAACTTCTTTGGTTAAACAATTTATTTCTCGGGACTATTAACACCTGTAAATTACTTGCATGTATCATCTCCTTTGAGAGTCCCGACAATCCTGGGAATATACCCACTTGGCCAATGAGAAAACCGAGGGTGGGGAGATGGTGGGTTGAGTGCAAGGTCAAGCAGCTAGTAACAATATGGGCCGGGGCTCAGGACTTGTCCACTCGGTCACGCAGAACACGCGATTCTTGTCTGGACCTCGGGAATGCGGTAGCAGCCCCGCCGTGACCGCACAGGTACCTGCCAGCGCCGAGCGTGGGAACGCGCCCCACCTCGCCCTGGGCTCATCTGAGCCCGAGTGCCGGGAATACACTGGGCCGGGCACGGTCCAAAATCTAAGCGATTTCAGGCAAGGTACCTAAGTCTGCCTTAATTTGCGTAGTGCTTCCCGTCTCCCTTTGCACCGTGATGGGTCTCACACGAGATAAGCTAAAGCGCGTGGAAACGCTTTGAAACGTGTTAATCGCTATGCCCACGTGAGTCATTTCTGTCCCCAGGCTCCAAGAGCTTCAAGAATCCCAACTCGCCTCGCCTCACCCCGCCTTGCCCGCGCCGGACATCCTCCCCTGACCCCGTCCCCGTCCCCGTCCCCGGCCCCGGCCCCCCAAGGCCTCGCTCGGGTCCCGTGCCTACCCTTGCTCCTCAGGTCCTCGAGGCAGGAGGCCGCCACGCCGTGCTGTTCGCGGCTGTGGTTACGGCGCAGCAGACACCGCTTTAAAGCCTGATTCTCGCTTGGTTCCGCAGCACTGGCACCCGAGAACACCTCCATCCTCTACAGGACTGGGACCTGACTGACACTGGTAAGTCAGGGAGGCTCGAGCCGGCGGCCTCCCCGCCCCCCACGCCCGCGGCATGCCGGGAGCTGTAGTTCTCTCTGTAGCAAGTCACGCACGGGACCGAGGCACGCCGGGAGATATAGTTCTAATGGACGCTGATGGCGTGCGGCCCCCGAGCCATGCCGGGAGCTGTAGTCTCTGGGCGCAAAGCCGACTTCGTGTGTCGCGCAATTCGACCCGGGAGGAGTTTTTTTTTCCTACCTTATATTTAGTAGTTGCAGTTGCGCGTTCGACAGGAGGTCTATGGGGATTTATTTTGCATTATGGAGGACACGCATGCATACTCCCTTGAATTGTTAGAGCACTCCTATTTGCATATATAAATGCATAATATTAATACTTAGATAAAAGCCTGTCATTGTCCTGTGTTAATTTGTTTTCCCTTTCCACCCTGAAAAGATCTGTAAGATATCCATCTTTCAGGCTGATCTGAAGGAAGTCAATTTAAAAAATTGATGAATGTAGTTTTCAGTCTTGCTGAAAGCTTAACAGAGAAGCATAAGATATTCGCACATTTCCGTTCAGTTCCCCGCTGCAGCTGTGCAAATTGGGTTGGACTCATAACAAAATGCTTGAATAAGTAAGTTAAACATTACGGTCTAAAAGAAATCAGAGAGGAAAGTGGAAATGCGAACCACATCACTGCGGTTGTCCAGAAGCTACTTGACAGTGTATTCGTCCTCGTTGTAATACTGCTACTTACAGAAAAGTCTGTTTTTTTCTCCCCATGAAAACCCAATATTTAAGATTAAAATAATAATAAAAATGATCAAAAACGGTTTCTCGCTTTAAAGGGGTCCTTTAATGTCAACAAGAAAGAATTTTCCGTCTACACTCATGCAGGGTCAGCCTCACATTTTGTTTATGAGAGGAAATGCGATTATTATTTCATAAAAAAGGGTAATTTTTTTTTTTTTTTGTATCCTCACCTGAGGACATTTTTCCATTTTTTGTTCAGATAGAGTGGGAGGGAGAGAGATGGAGAGAGAAAGGGACATCGATGTGAAAGGGACTCATCGAGTGGCTGCCACTTGCACGACCAACCAGGGCCGGGGACAAACAGCAACCGAGGTACGCGCCCTTAGCGGGAACCGAACTGAACCCGGGTCTCTCTGGACAGCAGGCCGATGCTCTAACCACTGAGCAAATTGGCCAGGCCAAAAAGGGGTAGTCATTTAAAAGTGTTTGGTGGGGCCGACAGGTGTAGCTGGGTGGTTGAGCGTCAATCCAATCGCTGGTTCCATTCTGGGTCAGGGCACATGCCCAGGTTGTGGGCCTGATCCCCAGTGGGGGGCATGCAGGAGGCGGTCAATCATGTTCTCTCTCATCCACGTTTCTTTCTCTCCCTCTCTCTTCCTCTCTCTCTAATATCAATAAAGGGAAAAAGAAAAAAAAAAAAAGACACTCAGAGTCTACTCTGTCCTCTCTCTTCTTTGACCCTTCTATCTAAAAAAATAAAATAAAATAAGTGTTTAGTGGAAGGAACTGTTAATTGAGGCAACACTCTTGGGTACTCCACAACCCATAAAACACAAGTTCCAAAGTATGCAACACTTTTGTGTAAATTCCGCATTTACACTCTCCTGTCAAGAAGCCTCCTGTTGTGTTCTAATGGATCTGAACACTTTTATCAGATTCCTATCTCCAAGATGCTGTAATTGTGTGTGTCTTTGACTTGGACTTGGGAGCAGGGGTTCAGTCTTGGATCTTTTTATTTCTAGCGCCTAAGCACGTGCCTGGCAAACAGTAGTAGGCACTCAACAAATGGTACTGCACTGACCCATCAATTTCCAAGTTTCTTCCAACATTCATTCATGCATTAAATACTTAGCGAGTCCCTACTTGTGCCCAATGCGCTGTGGGGACGGGCAGAGACTGACTTCCTTCAAAACAATACACTTATAAGAATGCAAAAAGGACAGACCTCCGATCTTCCTGGAAAGCAGAGACCGGATGAAAACTGTGCGAGGTAACTCGGACGTGGGAGTTCCCCTACCTCCGCCCTGACCCCCATCGACAGGCTCGGTTCGGCTACTTCTGTCTGGGCAGGAGAGCGAGAGCGAGGGCGCTTGGGAGAAGCCTCGCCCAGCGGCGATCGATTAATCAGGCCTTAGGAAGATGGCGTCCTCGGAGCAGGCAGAGCAGCCGAGCCAGGTGAGGGGAGTGGGACTGCCCCTTCGTGGTGGCGGGGACCCCAGCTGGAGGGGGCGCTCGGTGTGCGGCTGGGAGTCGGGTGGGGACCCTGCGCCTCTGAAACCCGAGGCCCGGACCTTTTGCCCCCTCCCGGGCCCCGCCCCTCCCCAGGTCCTCGCCACCCGGCCCCTCCCCCGGTGACCCCTCTTTGACCACATTCCCGAGCCCCGGCTCAGGGCGCCCGCAGGTCCCACGACCCGACTGCCGGCCCCTGGGGTGTCATCTGAGCTTGGCCCGGGGGGTGGCGGGGTCCTTGAGAAGCCCCCAGCCTTGAGCCGCGAGAGCTCCTGCTTGAGGAGAGGAGTGAGAGGCTCGGTGCTTCGGACTGTTCCTCCCGGGAGGGGCCCGACTCCATTAGGGTTCCCACCCCCCACCGCCTCAGCCTCGTGGGGTGGCCCCGCTGTCAGCCTCTTCGTCCTTAGTCACATTTGCGCGTCCCTAGTCCAGTTGGAGGGTCGGACCCTCTCTGCGCGTTGGTGGGAAGGGCACTCCGTGTAAACAACAGACGCCACCAGGCTTCCGGCCGAGGATCCGTCCTGGCTCTCCAGAGTTTGGCTTTCGCGGCCCCAGTCCAGCTTCTCAGCCACAGGTTCAGCCAAACCTCACTCCCGTAAGGGGCCTTTGAGGACAGCGCTCCTGCCTGTGGTCTGCTGTCCGGAAGCAGTGCACGGTGCGGCCTCTGGAGGGGTCGGTAGGCCAGGGTGGAGGGGGCTGCGATGGGCATGGGGGTACGCGGCACCTCACATTTCCTGCGTGTGTGCTGTCACGCAGAGGACAGATTACGTTTATTACCTCGTTTAACAGTCATTAGAACCTTTACAAAGTCCAGGCCGTTAACCACCATTTTGCAGAAGTGGATCCTAAGGGTGTGTAACATGCCCTTAATCGTGTGCCTGCCTGAGCCTGGATTTAAAGCCAGGTGTGTGCGACTCCACCGGTCCCCCAAACATGTTTGCATTTCGTTGGAATTCGAGGAAGAAGAACAGGGTTTCAGTCTGGACCTCATCTCTCACCTCCTTGAAACACCTGTGGACTTCTCAGCTGCTTTCTGGTATTTTGCTTCTTTCCTAGGCAGAAGAACGCCGCTCAGTGTTTCTTACTGTTTTATTCTCCATGATACATTTATTATAAGAATTGCATTTAGAGTTGTGTGTTCCCCAGACCAGGTTCTGTTAGCAGAGTGGATGATTCAGAAAGATGTCTGGATTGTAAAACATGGGAAATAATGAGGGCTGATTCTGGCCTTCTCACTGTCAGAAATTCTGGGGTGTGAAGAGTGTCCTGAGAGATGGTCCCCTCCTTTTCTTGCCTTATCCCATTTAGCTTGAGGCCCCTCAGAATCTGGGCTGCTTTGAACTGTTATATGTTAGGAATGTCCCCCAGGCTGGGATTAAAGGGTGCCTTCATGTTCTAGAACACCTTTCTGCCTTTGCAGTGAACATAAGGATTTCTTTGCTTCTGGAAATTGCCCTCTCTGTACATGTGGAAAGCATCTGAGGTCCTTTTTTTTTTATCCTCACCTGAGGACATTTTTCGGACATTTTTTGATATTTTGTTGAGATAGAGTTGGAGGGGGAGAGAGAAAGAAACATCGTTGTGAAAGGGACACATCGAGTGGTTGCCACCCACACGACCCAACCAGGGCTTGGGACAAATTGCAACCGAGGTACGTGTCCTTAGCGGGAACCGAACCTGGGTCTCTCCGGACCGCAGGCCGACGCTCCAACTGCTGAGCCGAACTGGCCAGGGCGATCTGGGGTCCTTTAAGGGAGCTTGGCCAGCACGTGTTTGGTTTTCAGCTCTGCTTCTCCTTTGCCCTCCTTTCCAAAGCTGGTAGAGATGGGATTGCATCAGAATATGCTGGCAGCCTGGACAAAAACTGGAACTCTAAATGCCAGATTCTCTCACTCTCTAACAATAAGCTGCAAAATCATATTTTTTAAGTGAACCAACTCTTTTTCCAGTTACTTGCCATTTCATTTTTTTTTTAAAAAAAGAATAGTTTATTAATTTTTAGAGAGAGGAAGGGAGAAGAGAGACACATCGATGTGAGAGCATGGCATCGATCTGCTGCCTCCTGCATGACCCTGGGGCCAAGCTGGCAACCCAGGCATGTACCCTGGTCTGGAATCAAACCAGCAACTCTTTTGTGCACAGGACGAGGCCCAGTGAAGTCACATCGGCCATGGTGCCGTTTCATTTTTTTATATTTTTTTTATCCTCACTCGACATTTTTTCATTTTTTGTTCAGATAGAGTGGGAGGGAGAGAGAGGAAGAGAGAGAGAGAAACATCGACGTGAAAGGGACACATCGAGTGGCTGCCTCCCGCACTACCCAACCAGGGCCGGGGACAAACCGCAACCGAGGTACATGCCCTTAGCGGGAACCGAACCCGGGTCTCTCCGGACCACAGGTGGACGCTCTAACCGCTGAGCCAAACCGGCCAGGGCACAACTTTGTACTTCTTAATTCCTTCATCTGCTTCACCCATCCTCCCAGCCCCCTCCCATTCGTCAAGCAACAAAAAGTTCTCTGTATCTATGAGTCTGTTTCTGTTCTGCTTGCTCATTTTGTTTGTAGATTCAATTGTTGATAGATATGTATTTATTGCCATTTTATTGTTCATATATTTTTAGCTTTATCGTCATCTTCAAGAAGACCTGTCAACATTTCATGTAATACTCTTTATATGTCCATCGATTCTAAATGACAGCTTTGTAGAATAGAGTAATCTTGGTTGCTTTTCATCACTTTGAATATCTCTTGCCACTCCTTTCTGGCCTGCAGAGTTTTTTTTGAGAAATCAGCTGACAGTCTTATGGGAGCTCCTTTGTAGATAATGAACTGCTTTCCTTTTGTTGCTTTTAAGATTCTCTATTTGTCCTTAACCTTTGGCATTTTGATGATGATGTGACTTGGTGTGGATCTCTTTGGGTTCATCTTGTTTGGGACTCTTTGTGCTTCCTGGACTTGTGTGTCTGTTTCCTTCACCAAGTTAGGGAAATTTTCTGTCATTATTGTTTCAAATAGGTTTTCATTGTCTTGCTCTCTCTCTTCTCTTTCTGGCACTTCCATGATGCAAATGTTGGCATGCTTGAAGTTGTCCCAGAGGCTCCTTACACTGTTCTCATTTTTTTGGATTGTTTTCTTCTTTTCGCTGTTCTGATTGGGTGTTTTTTGCTTCTTCTTTATATTCCAATTCGATGGTTTGCTTCTTGCCTTCACCTATTCTACTATTGATTCCCTGTAAATTATTCCTTATTTCATTGAGTGCATCCTTCATTTCTGACTGGTCCTTTTTCACATTGTTGTTGTTCTCCCTAAGTTCCTTGGAGTTCTCCTTAAGTTCCTTGAAGATCTCACTAAGTTTCTCGAGCATCCTTATAACCAGTGTTTTGAACTCTGCATCTGATTGATTGCTTATCTCCATTTTGTTTAGTTCTTTTCCTGGAATTTTGTTCTGTTCTTTCACTTGGGACATGTTTCTTTGTCTCCTCATTTTGGCTGCTGCCCTGTGTTTATTTCTATGTATTAGGTAGAGTTGCTATGTTTTCTAGGCTTTGTAGGGTGGCCTGTTGTTGTAGTTGTCCTGTAGGGTCCAGTGACACAGCCTCCCTGATCACCCCACCTGGGCCTTTGAGGTGCACCCCTAGTGTGGACTGTACACCCTTCTGTTGTAATTGAGTCTTGATTGCTGTTGGCACGTCAATGGGTGGGATTTACTCAGGCTGATCAGCTACAAGGACTGGCTGTGCCCACTGACCACTGCCCTCTGACTCCCTTGGAGGATCAGTGGTGTAGGGGCCCACCACACAGGGCAAGACTTACTTCAGCAGGGCTCTGGTACCCACTGAGTCTATTCCTTGAGTGTGTCATTTGTGGAGGTGGTTGGTGGTGCTTCGACAGGGTCTGAAGCTGTTCACTGGGTGTGCTGGCTTTGGGGCAAGGTCAGCCTCTGCCTGTGTTCTACCAGGGGCCACCAGGCATAAGCTACAAAGTGATCTGCAGATGGCTGCTTCTTGTGCTGGGCTTGGAGGTGCTCAGGAAAAGCCAAGTTGTGAACCAAGGCTGGCTGCTTCTAGTGCCAGGTCTCGGGCCACTTATCGAGAGGTATGGGGCTCACTGAGACTAGAGGCTACTTGTTTGAGAGATTTTAGGAAACTCTGAAGCAGGATCCAAGACAGGCCAATCATATGGAAAAGCCACTGGAAACAGCTTGGGTGGGCCCAAAGGTTGGGAGGGGCAGGGCCTCAGGGAATCACCAGGGCAGGGCAAACAGTGTGAGCCAGGTAGGTTCCTGGAGTTCTAGATATAGCTGCTGTCTGCTGCCCCAGGGAAGGGCTCACCCAAGGAACTACAACCTCAGCACTCAGCACGTCTATCCTGGAGAAAGCTGCCCCTCCAGCTCTCGGCCCAATGCCAAACAATTCAGTTCTTTCCGTATGTCTCTGGTGCCTTTCAAGCTGCCTCCCTAACACTGGAGCCCAGAAGGAGAGAGTCCAAGTAAGTCCATGTGCGGGCCCTTTAAGGGGAACTACCTGGGGCTTCAGCAGCCTCAGCCTCTGTTCCCGCTGGTTTTACAGCTGGGAGTTATGGGGACTTCTTTTCCTGGCACTGGAGCCCTGAGTTGGGGGGCCTTGTGTGGGAGGGGGACCCCTCACTCTTCAGGGAGGACCTTCACAGCTGAGGTGTCCTGATTTTTATTTGCCACAGGTGGGTGTGGGATCAGCCAGTCTGCGCCTCCGCTCCTCCTGCCAGTCTCGATGTGACCTCTTCTTTAATTTTGTAATTGTAGTACTTCATTCAGCTCAGTGTCAGGCAGTTCTGAATGATGGTTGTTCTGTAGTTTAGTTGTAATTTTGATGTGGTTGTGGGAGGAGGTGATACCATGTTTACCTATGCTGCTATCCTGACCGGACTGCCATTTCATTTTTAAGTCCTGATGTCCTTTTTCTCTAGTCAATGCAGAGTGGACTTGAAAAAACTATTTGGAGAATCCCCCAAACTTGGTTTGTATGTGGGAAGAGCTGCATTTACATCTGTGGGGCTGAGCCAGTATTCTGTCTCATAGAAAGTTTGTTAGTTGGCTTTGTGGCATCAATAGCTCATTTTGAAAGATTAAAGGTGGCCCTGGCCGATTTGGCTCAGCGGTTAAAATGTCAGCCTGTGGTCCAGAGAGACCCTGGTTCGGTTCCTGCTAAGGGCACGTATCTCGGTTGCAGTTTGTTCTGGCCCTGGTTGGGTCGTGCGGGTGGCAGCCACTCGATGTGTACCTTTCTTGTCAATGTTTCTCTCTCTCTCTTCCTCTCCCTCCCACTCTATCTGAACCAAAAATGAAAAAATGTCCTCGAGTGAGGATAAAAAAAAAAGAAAGATCAAAGGTGAATAACCAATCCTTTTTCCCTTTAACAGGCAGTGTGGAGCAATGGTAAAAGTATTAGCTCTGAAGCCATTCCCATTCGTTTAGAGTCCTAGCTCCACTATTACCAGCTGAGGGGTCTTGGATAAATTACTTAACTTCTCTGGCCTTAGGTCTTCCATCTGTAAGATACTAATGAAACTAGTGCCTATCTCATTGGGTTGCTCTATTGAGGATTGAGTTAACTAATTTTAGTATAGTGCCTGACATAATGTCTTATATATTATTATTCCATCCAATAAACTCTGTC